CTCGCGCTTGTACTCTCACCTGCCGGATTAGATTTTTCCGCGCAGATCAGAGACGAATATCGATCGCTTCACTGGTCGCCCAGAAGCCCTCTGCGAAATCAAGACGGACGGTACTCGAGTGACCCTGCGGGTGGTAATGATTGGGCAATGAACGATGCGATGCGTAAGATACTCCGTACGTTTGTACGTGTGTATGTCTACAGGTAGAGAGGAGAGAGTACAGGAGTACAAGGTCTGTTATATTACATTATGTTACATGATGTTATATTATATTATGCTAAATGTTGACGGTTGATTCGTCCTCCTGAACAACGGTTCCTACAATGCCGTCGCGCTGTCGGCGGCTGGAGGGGAAAGAACGCCGCGCCTGGCATGGGCAGTAGAGATGAGTACAGTACAGTAACCGCAGTGGCAGTGGGCAGCGGGCAGTGGGCAGTACAATAACTGGTCGGTGGGCAACCACCATCCGTCGCATCCACCCACTTACTTCTGCAAAACCCCAACTATTGGCACTGCGGAGGGGCACACAGGAGGGGGTTCACGACCCGTCCATGGGAGGTAGGCAGTCGCCCAGTCGCCCAATCGCCCAGTCGCCCAGTCGCCCAGCATGTCACGGAGCATGGCATGCATGGACAAGTGCCAGTGCCAGGGAAGTCGCGGTTGCACTGACGGTTGCATCCAGCAGCAATCGAGGGAACAGCAAAAGCGGAGAAGAGAAATTCAATGCGATGGCCTCAATTGCCGTTCTGGATACGGAGGTTGAGAGGCCCCCCGGGGCACGGAGGGCAGTTCGCACGTCGGACGGCTATTGAAAGCTCGGGATTTGCGCCGACGAATATGTAAATGGTGGCCAAGCACGTGGTTTTCTCCAAATGCCTTTACGCTTGCAACGGTACGATCTTCCTGTGATGGTGCTCCGCTGCCCTGGTGTCTTGGTGCCTTGGTTGGAATGAACCGAGATAGACTGAAATGAGACGATGTGAAGAGAAGGGTAAGCACGATCATAGAGATGATTATATCATGTGTTTGAGGGCGATTCTTCCTGCGTGAGTGTCTTATTTTATCCGTTCTCGTGACCATCGTCTGTGTGGGAGAAAGAGCCCGGTGGCATGGAGGAGTCGAAGTGAAACGCCCGCCGATAGGTATAGATATACACGCATCAAGTCACGCATGCCACGCTGTCCACTGTCGTGAACGTGAAGACCCTTCTACCCGTTGGTCAACGACCGAGGTTCGAATGAAGCAGTAGAGTCAAGGTCATGTGCTTACGCTGGCCGTGAAGGAGGCATGGCAGGGTCTCGTACCGAGCAGGAGAAGCATTCGATTGTCCTTTGTTCGGCACCAAGATCATCTCATCGCTGGAAATAAACTCTACCAAAGTCAGTGTATCACTGGTGCATTGTCACTACCTCTTGCGTGCAACTGGAGGCCATCATCAAACTTGAATACCCTGTACGTGCCTTTGGACACCACACCCATGGGGGCCGCCCTACCGCATCAACCCACCCCAAGCTCGGAGGAAAAATTGAAGCCGAACACCTCGTTGCTTGCTTACCCGTCTCTATACCGGCTGATAGGAGCTGGGGCAGGAGCTGAAATACCCGCGATATTCCCACCCTTTGGATCCTCGAAGCAGACGGTCATAGCAGTGGCGGTCCACCCGCAACAATATGAAGACCTGGACTTGTTGCTGGTACTGGGGCGATTGAAGATAAAACCATGAGCTGGCATGGACTCGCCGATCATTGTCCCTGGCCGGATATTTTGAAGCTCATGGATACGCTGACGCACACGCCACCGAAGAAACCGCCGCTGGTGTCGGTCGTTAAGTCGTCAGAGGCTGCGAAGGCGCGCGCATGTAATCAAAATCCACAAGTACATAGTCTCATTTAGCTCAGGGAGCTGAGTGGACGCACACCACACTCCACAGTCTCCTCTCGAAGCGATTCTTCGTATTTTCGTGGCATAGGTTGGGGCCTTCAGAGAGTGCCAGCGAACTAGCCAGGCAGCTGTTTGAGTCGATCCCGTTGGGCGTAACAGGGGCCAGACAGCTCCGCTGCCACGAATGTGGCGTTCCAGGTAGTGTTCCTTTGGCGAAGACGCCGAACCTCCAAAGGAAGCGTGTCTAGTGATAGCGAGCACGTCAGCCGGCCCATCGCTGCTCCTCGTCGAGGTTAAGAGTAGAGGTATTGTCCTCAGGACACCGCTCGTAGGGGTTCTCAGACGTGGAAGAGGCCGAGAATTACCTGCTCGTTGTGGTAATTGTTGGTGCGAATTCCGCTGAAGATGAGGATGCCGTTGCTCTTGTCATCCTCTTCCAGGCATCTCTGGCGACTGACATCGTACTGGAAGGATGGATCTAGACATCAGGGCAGGTGAGCTCGATCTCGCTGCTCATGCTGGTACCTCGTGCCACCATGACTTACGACGACTCTTGCTCTGGCAATGGGGACCTGTTGCTGCGCTGATCCCTGAGATATATGGAAGCAGGTCCTTTCCCTGTCGGGATAAGTGGTCCTCCCTGCGACTGGAGTAATAATGGAAGACTTGTACCCGCCTCGTGTTCACGTCCTGTCGAACCGGCTCTCCATTGACCCTGCTGGATGATTTTGCAGATCACGGAAGAGTTGGCTTCTTTCTGCGCAGGAACAATCTGTGCGGGCGGTGCTATTTCATGTCGTAAACGTGGCTGTTTCGTGCTTGTCGAAGCCTTCGCCGCAGTCTTCCACTCCGCTGCCTCGTACGCTGTGGAATCCCTCTGGCGGTATACTGCCTTGTCTTCAGCTCGCCAACATTAGGATGGGAGCATAGGATAGACGAGGGTGTAACGACGAGGCGGCCGATCCCTGCAGTTCACCGAGGCGCTGGCACGGAGGTGGATGCACTCCGACAGTTCCAGCCCATAGTGATTTCCACCGTTGTGGCACGCTCAGATCCTCATAGAAGGCCAGCCACCAGGTCTGGATGATGACATGGTGTGGCGATCTATGGGTAATGCAGAGGTGCCGAACGCCTGATCCGATCTATACTGCCGCAACGCTATCCGTGGTTGACTTTCCTTTTGGCTAGTACTCGTGGTTCGGAGAGCGGGTGTAAGTCAGCAGCATCTGTGCTTGGCCCCTCACTAGAACCTAAGCGCCTCAAGTTCTGGAAGGGCTGTCAGGACTTGCGGACTTACATCGGATCTTCTCCATGGATGTTCAGGAGATAAGATATCTCGTATTCTCGCGCTCACAATTGTACGGCCACCTTAGCGGGTTTGATGTCGCCGTTGGATGCCCTGCGCTCTTGCGGTTAACTCCAAGGAGATTGGTTTGGGCCGCACAGTCGTACGCGTTCTTGTTGACCCTTGCTGGCTACTGTGGTTGGTTCTGTCTTTTAGGGGATGGACGAAGGCTATTCGCGAGGGGCAAGATGTATGGAACAGCAGTCCACTCCACCATTTCTCTCATGCACGGACGCGGAATCCCTGACTCGGATTCCGCCTGAAGAGTGTTGACGGTTTCGGTCGAGGTCTACCACGCGTGGCATGGTACACACCGCCGGCTGTACTGTATGGGCTGCTCGCCTGATGTCATACAGGTGCGCAAACACTGTGATAATGGGCAATTTGGAATATGTGCCCTGAGTCAGGGTAGTACCAAGAGGCCACAGACGAACTCTAATACCAAAGTTCTCGCGGTAAGCCATAATCTCAAATCGCGAAGTATTGCCGTGGTCAAAAGCGATTTTCCGCATGGTGGATTATATAATTGAGCCAGTGGGCGGTAAGCTAGTGAGAAACGTATCGGAGCCGACACTGCTTGATAATGGCGTTTATTTCGAGTAACACGGCTGGTGGGACGGTGAACCTGAGAGGACAGGGTAACGGGACGGTTGGCAAATGGCGGCCATGACGGGTTTGAGGGCCTAGAATACCGGATCTGTCTTCAGCCTTGCGGTTGGCATCTGGCAGCTAAGCTCGTGGCGGTCCGGAAACAGCAAGTGGACGGGGACTGTGCCACCAGTGTGACCATGGACTACTGGGAGACATTAAGCCCCAGCCAACAGGAAGGGGGCGTCGTTTACCCGGATGGGCATAGTCGGGAGTATAACTCGCTTATCTAATTGCTGTGCCTGTCTCCAGGTCACCCACAGGTCGCCCGTAAGGCACATAATCGGGTCGTGGCTAGGTCGTAGGCCCTGGGTGTGCCTCCCGCCAGATGGGCATTTCAGGAACCCCCATAGTCAACGTCTAGGGTAATCAGATTGTCGGCTCCCTAGGCCAATATCAGACCCTGAAATCAAAATACCAAGCTGACCAGTATGACGAGCAGGCGGAAGGTGGATCTGTTGCTCTCGGAACGAGCATGAAAGTCACGTTGTTCGAGGCTTGCAAAACCCGGTGCATGCAAAGCCTTCGTCGTGATGAAGCAATGCCATCCATCAAAGCATCCTCACCAAGACTCTTTAAAGCCCGCCGAAGCTTGATTATTGATTTTCGATTTCGCCCAGCATTTTCCAAACGCAATCGCGGACGCCCTTCCCAGCAAGAGGATTAGAAAATCAAGATGCCAATCGGCCGACCTCGAATAGCAGGCACTGAGGCAGAGCGGGCAGAAGCGCGAAGAGCCAAAGTCCGAGCGTGAGTATTGGACGCACCCAGTGTCGGTTAAGACTCAACGGCACTAACAAGCGCCTCCTCAAGCAACGTTCAAGCCTTTCGACGGCGTCAAAAAGAAAAGAAGCTCGCAGCACAGGCTACCCAGCTTCGGACGAATGATGAGTGTCCAACTCCGACACACCAGACGCCCGTGCGCGGAGGCCTGCCGACAAGGCTGCCGACTTTTGCAACCTTCGCAGATGAGTGCCCGCAAGCATACAGACCTTCAGTCTTCCCTCCAGAAGACCCCGAGTACTGGCTATGGGCCATTCCGGCTGAAATGGGGGCACGACTGGTAGGAACGACTTACCAAGAGGCGTTCGTCCAGGCACTTCAGCACAGATTTGTGCAACCGCACATGAGCTGTGAGCAGACAAAGGATGGACCACGCCAAAGGATATCCATATGCTGCTCCACGTGGACTACATCGGCAATCCTTGAGATCGGCAAACCCGAGACCGAGGTTTTGATGGAAGCCCTTCTCGCCGCCTCCCTCGCTATCGCTGGGAGGGATCGGAGAGATCAGGACATGGCTCTCCATAGCGCCTACTTGCAGACCCGTGCACTGCAAAGGTTGCGGTATTCGTTGACAAGATATCAAGAGGGTGATATGAGCGTCTGTCCGACGTTGTTGTCTCTCACAGCGTTGACCTGCGCGATATCGGAATTGATAGCCAACAAGTCATGGGACAACTTCAACCGCCATCTGCTGGGGGTGGGCGCATTGATATTTCATGGTGGCGTCGCCGTAAGTTGACTGTACCTCTATTGTTGTCCCTGTTTTCTCGTCAGAGGGAACAATGTGCTGCTTGACCTTGCGAGGTGTAGATGAGCCGTGCTGACCCGCTGGATAGGGACTGGATCGACGATCTTCTCGCGAGCACTTTTACGGTTATCGTGCCATCCAAACACCTTTCCTGTTCATGAACCGACAACGAGCGTTCCCCTCCAACCCAGAGTGGTGTGACTTTCCGTGGAAAAAGCACGTGGACGTCGCTCAACATCCATTGCACTCAATGCTTGATATTGCACTCAAGATCTTGCCGGAGGTTGTGAAGCAAGACATGCCGAAGAAGTGGAAAGTCGCCTGTCTGGAGGAGAGGCTGGACAAAGCGTGGACAGTCGTGGAAGAACTGGATGAATGGGAGCGTGAGCTGCGACTACGGCATCACGGGGTTCTTTACATCAAGACGCCGTCCGTGTGGGGAGGTGTGAACGGGCATCGCCTCGAGTTCCCTGGCACGTCGACTGCCATCGCCTTCGCCATGTACACAGCAGTGAGGGTGCATGTGGCGGCCCTCATCGCCAACGTCTCGGACGAGATGCTCTCGCGTGCGTCCGCAGCTGACGTCCGTCCAAGCTCCGCCATGCTGGAGGCTGTGCAGTGGTCTCGTCTCGCATGTCAGAGCCTGGAGTATTTCCATACAGGCGCACCCAAAGTCGCCGGGCGGATCGTCACCCTCTGGCCACTTGAAACAGCATGGGAGCTCTTCAGTCGCGTGCACATGGAAAGCACGGTGGATGTGTCGCAGGAGCTGGCTTGGTGCCGGTCGATGGCCGAAAGACACGCCAGTCTTGGGATTCCCCCGTTTCGGTGGAGATAAAGCGATTTTCGCTCTGAACCACACGGTATACCACGCTTCGAATGAGGCGGAGTCTGGCACTCGAATGTTGCGATTGGCGCGTTCGCAGACACAGCCTCCCTGAGCGTGAGAGAGAGTGGGTTTCAGTCTTCTCTATGTTCACGAGACAGTGTTGGGGATCGTAATGCACGAGATTTGCTTTTCGAAGCAGCGCCCAGCCCGAATCCGCAGACCCAGCATTGCGACTCGGTATGCGCGGAAAAGTGGCCGGATTGGGAAGCTCGCTCTGGACCGGGCAATCAAGCGCTGATCTTGGACTCAAAAGAAGCAAGGTTTCAGAGTCTGCCGGGGAACGTCGAAGGGCGTGGAGAGTGCGGGAAAGTGAGAGTGAGAGACAAGTGAGAGACAAGGCTCAGCCACAGAGGTGGCGAGGCTGCCGCTGCCTGATCGCCTCGTGCCTCGGCTCCTGCCCCTCAGCTGTGGCTTGATCTTTGCCTGCCGCCACAATCACCTTGTGGCTGGTGCTGATGATCTGCTGGGAAGGGAAGCTTTTCCGGCCGCTGCCCAGGTTGCCAACATTCCCAGCTCCCGGCCATCGATTTACACTGGTAGGATGTACAGTACTCCGTGATCGTTGGAATGACGATTGACCGAGGAACAAAGCACTTTACCGCCTGCCAAGTTGTCACACAACCTGGATTCCTTCCTTCGCTGAGGTGATGGCGGCCGGACAGCTGCTTGGAGTGACGCAGGTCAAGGAGCGGCGAGCGCTCGACAGGGAGTCACTGGAGCCAAGGACAGGCGCGGAGCAATGGTGGCATGCCGGCCAAGACGTTGATTTCTCTTGCAAGTCTTGTCGTCAGAGAAACGCACGGGTCTGACTTGGTGCATTCTTGGAATCTCTTGGGACCGGAGCCATGGCAATGACGGCAGCGGATAGACAATGCGGCAAAGGCAAGGATGGGATTTATGTACTGTATCAACAGAGACGAGATGTGCGTGGTTGCGTTAACGATCTGACCGGCCAAAGGCCTGGTCCCCAGCCTCGTCGTCTGGGTCGGGGCCCCATGTTGCTCCGTCTGTCGCATTCAGGGCAGCCAACAAACCTGATCGGTGTCGAGGATCACGCTGAGGAATTCAGATTTCGGTCAGAATCTGGGATCCCGAGCGGAGTGCCACGCTTGGGCGCCTCCTCAAACACAAGCCGGGTGTGTCACGGTCGCCGGTGTGTGAGTGGCCCAAATTGCCTGGTCGCTGAGTGCCCAGAATGCCTATCGTGCACTGCCTCAGTCTGGGCAACCCGTCAAGACAGCTCATCCGCCAGAACCCCAGGCCCTCTTGACAGAAACTGGCTGCGCCGAGCGGATGCTGCAATCATGCTCATGGCGAATCTCGCTCTGCCAGAGTTTTCGTACTCGCTCTCATCATAATATATCCAAAAGCCGCCGTTTCGCAACACCATGGCCGCCTGCTGCCGTCACGCTACAAACGCCTTGCCCCTGCCGTGTAAACGAGGCTGAGTGTGATATGTGGTCGAACTGCCAGTGATTCTCGCTCAAGAAAAATCTCTGATCTCATCAGAACAGCCAGGCCCCAGCCATCTGTCATGGACGAACCAAATCCGTCGTCGCCTCCCCGGATAACGGTTGATACATCTGTAAGTCAGCTCAAGGACGTGGACCGTTGCTGCATGTTTCATCTTTCTGACCTTCCTGGCCACAGAATCTATCGGAGCAGCCCCCAACGGTCTCACCGATATCACCAGCTTCACCAACATCGCCGCGAGGCCACCGACGGGGTCCCAGCATGTCTACGCCGCCCCAGACGGCCATCGACGAGGGCTCATATTTGTCCCCAACAACACCGGAGCGCAAGGCACAGTTTGACGGATCGACGCTCAACTCGAGGTCGGGTTCTTTCTCTGATGGTCCGGCCAGGTTCCGGTCGAATTCCGGCATCTCAGCAACATCGAGTGCGACCTTTTATTCGAAATCCAGTCTGGAATACGAGTCACCGGAAGACGCCTTGCGACCCGACAAGGGGAACGAAAAGGACTTTGAGGTGCCCAACAATCCCTTCGCCTTCACACCAGGCCAGCTAAATAAGCTCCTCAACCCCAAATCGCTATCGGCGTTCAAGGCGCTCGGTGGCTTGAAAGGGCTGGAGCGCGGCCTCAGAACGAGTATCACAGCGGGATTGTCTGTCGACGAAACGCGCCTGGATGGACAAGTTTCCTTCGAAGAAGCCGTCGCTGCAGGATCGGATAAAGCATGTTCAAACGTCCCTCTAGGCCGGTCAGACTCGCGGGGTAGTGTGAGCACGCGGGATGTCAAGGGCCAATTCGAAGACCGGCTGCGAGTCTTCAAAGACAACCGCCTGCCCGAGAGAAAGCCGGACAGCATCCTGGTTCTCATCTGGAGAGCATACAACGACAGAATTCTCATTCTTCTTACCATTGCGGCGGTAATCTCCCTGTCATTGGGCATCTACGAGAGCGTAGACGGAGGGTCGGGCGTGGATTGGGTTGAAGGTGTCGCTATCTGTGTCGCCATCATTATCGTGGTGACTGTTGGGGCCGCGAACGACTGGCAAAAGGAACGGCAATTTGTCAAGCTCAATAAACGCAAAGACGACCGCGAAGTAAAAGTCATCCGGTCGGGAAAGTCGATCCAGATCTCTGTGCACGACATCACCGCCGGCGATGTCCTCCATCTGGAGCCTGGCGACGCCATCCCTGCCGACGGTATCTTTATCTCTGGCCACGGTGTCAAATGTGACGAATCGTCGGCCACGGGTGAGTCCGACCAGATGAAGAAGACCCCTGGCGACGAGGTATGGCAGCGCATCCAGGACGGGACTGCCACCAACAAGCTCGATCCTTTCATCATCAGCGGCGCCAAGGTGCTCGAGGGAGTCGGGACCTATCTGGTCACCAGTGTCGGTGTCAACAGCTCCTATGGAAAGATCTTGATGAGTCTTCAAACCGACAACGAGCCCACGCCTCTGCAAGTCAAGCTCGGCAAGTTGGCCAACTGGATCGGTGGCCTCGGCAGCTCCGCCGCCGGGCTCTTGTTCCTGGTGCTGCTGATCAAGTTCCTCGCAAATCTGTCCGGCGACACTCGACCAGGTGCCACAAAGGCACAGGAATTCTTGGATATTCTAATCGTTGCCATCACCGTCATTGTTGTCGCTGTTCCTGAAGGGCTGCCTCTAGCTGTGACCTTGGCTTTGGCGTTTGCCACCACGCGCATGCTGAAGGAGAACAATCTCGTCCGGGTCCTCCGGGCCTGCGAAACGATGGGCAACGCCACGACCATCTGTTCAGACAAGACGGGGACGCTCACCCAGAACAAAATGACCGTCGTTGCAGGCACGCTGGGAGCAAAGGAGAAGTTCGCCTCCTCCCAGGCGGACGAAAGTGCGGTCTCGTTCAATACCATTTTCAGCAATCTGTCCGCCGAGGTCAAGGAACTGCTCCGACTGTCCATCACCCTCAACAGCACAGCATTCGAAGGTGAAGAGAAGGGCGTGCCGACCTTCATCGGCTCCAAGACCGAAGTGGCGCTGCTTCAACTCGCAAAGGGCAATCTCGGCCTCGACGACTTGGCCGCCGAGCGATCGAGCTACAAGGTCAAGCAGCTCATTCCATTCGACTCGGCGCGCAAATGCATGGGCATCGTCATCAAGCACAAGGGAGGCTACCGTCTTTTCGTCAAGGGCGCGGCAGAAATCATGCTCGCCAACTCGACCAAGACCATTTCGAACGTGTACGACAAGCAGTTCGAAGTCACGGACCTGACGGGCCAAGAGAAAGAAAACATTGCCGCAATCATCGAAGAATACGCCCAGCACTCCCTCCGCACAATCGGCATGCTCTACAAGGACTTCCCGCAGTGGCCCCCCATCGGAGCGAAGACGCTCGAGGAAGATCCCAAGATGGCCGACTTTGCGGACATCTTCCACGAAATGACGTGGATCGGCGTTGTTGGCATTCACGATCCCCTCAGAGAAGGCGTCGTCGAAGCCGTGGCACAGTGCCAGCATTCCGGCGTGGTGGTCCGCATGGTCACCGGCGACAACGTCACCACCGCGCGTGCGATTGCCAGCGACTGTGGCATCCTCCGCAAGGATGAAGACGGCATCGTCATGGAAGGTCCCAAGTTTCGGCAACTGTCGAACGAAGAGATGGACAACATCCTCCCTCGACTGCGAGTTCTGGCGCGTTCGTCACCCGAGGATAAACGCATTCTGGTCAGCCACCTGAAGCAGCTCGGCGAGACCGTCGCGGTGACCGGCGACGGCACTAATGACGGGCCTGCGTTGAAGATGGCCGACGTCGGTTTCAGCATGGGCATCGCGGGCACCGAAGTCGCCAAGGAGGCTTCATCGATCATCCTGCTGGACGACAACTTCTCCTCGACCATCACCGCGCTCATGTGGGGTCGCGCCGTCAACGACGCGGTCAAGAAGTTCCTCCAGTTCCAAATCACGGTCAACATCACGGCGGTGATCCTGACCTTCGTGTCCGCCGTGTCCAGCGAGTCCAACCACTCGGTCCTCACGGCGGTGCAGCTCCTGTGGGTCAACCTCATCATGGACACCCTCGCCGCGCTGGCTCTCGCCACGGACGCGCCGACGAAGAAGATTCTCGATCGGCCGCCGCAGCCAAAATCCGAAGCGCTCATCACGATCAACATGTGGAAGATGATCATCGGCCAGGCCATCTACCAACTGGTGGTCACGTTCGTACTGTACTTTGCCGGCATGTCGATCCTGTCGTACGAGCCGGAGCAGCGCAAGGAACTCAACACGATCGTCTTCAACGCCTTTGTGTGGATGCAGATCTTCAACGAGCTCAACAACCGGAGGCTGGACAACAAGTTCAACATCTTCGAGAACATCCACAAGAACTTCTGGTTCATGGGCATCAACTGCATCATGGTCGGCGGCCAGATCATGATCGTCTTCGTCGGCGGCGCGGCCTTTAGCATCACCGCGCTGAACGGTCCTCAATGGGCCATCTCTCTGCTCGTGGCCGTGCCCTGTCTGCTCTGGGGCGTGCTGGTCCGGTGCTTCCCCGACGCATGGTTCGCAGTCGTGTTCAACGGCACGGTCGCAGGGATGACGGTCGTGCTCCGCCCCATCTGGAAGGTTCTTCGCGTCATTTTCCACCCCGTCGCGCAAGTCTTCCGCGCCATGTCTCGTGTGACCAAGCGCACTGTGCGCAAGATGACGGGCAAGAAGGCTCCCGAGGAGGACGAAGACCCGCAGACGCCCGTCGACGAAGAGCGACCCTCCATCGCCTTGACGGAGAAGCAACCCGCCACCGTCGACGAGGCAACGCGCGTCTCTTCCTCGCTGACGCCTGTCCCGACGGAACAACTCCACGGGGCCGAAAAGGGCAAGGCACGGGACGAAGACAACCAAGGCGGCGACAGCGGTCCGGAGAGGAGAGACGTGCCGGTGCCGTCGTTCTCCATCACTGGGCCGACCTAGCGCTGTAGAGGCTGTCGGTTCATGTTTCATGTCTTATGTCTCATGTCTCATATGTTTTACCACCCTCGACTTCTGACTTTCATTTTGCTGTCCATCCTCAAGATGGTTCTAGACGGCGTTCAAGGCGTTGCGAATGCTCCGTGACGACATGTATATCGACGAGGATAGAATCTGGGTGGCCATTCTCTCCTGCACGGCGTTGGAATGGAGTTGGGAATACGACGAAGTCCGAGATGCCCTGAGAATCGAACCACACAGGATGCCCTGAGAACCGAACCACGTTGGGGCTGGGACTTGATGCTTGAAAAGGGAAAAAGTTGAATGGACGACCGGCAATATGAAGTCCATGGATGCTCAGCTTCAGCTTTCATAGTACTGTATGTACGAAGAACACAAGTATGTGTGTGAAGACTCGAGCTACCCTATATACCATGGGTCAATTAAAGTATGGACAAATAACTGTATCTCCGGTACGAAGTATTGTGTCGTGAACCGCCTCCTTCTCGTACCACGGTCTGACCCTGGACCCTGTATGCATGAGAGGACGGGAGAGGTTGCTGGTGTGGTGAGCCTTGACGAAGGAGCCAGACCATGTATACACAGTACTACAGTCGACCGAAATCCCATCTATTGCATCCTATGGTATACGAGGACCATCCCATTCTATCTACACTATCTCATCCGATGTCATCTCTTCTCATCTCATTGCAACGCCTCGCCTCGCCTCGCCCTGCGTCCCAGTCCCAGAACCGATTCTCCGACTGCACCCAAGCACGACAAGGCGGACTAATTTACCACTGTACTCAATCTGTTCCTCCTTCCTGTCTTCGTTCCGTCCTTCGCCCCCCCCTCGACTTTGTGAAGCGCCGTCTTGGCATCATCTCTCATTTCCGACCGCCCATCTCATGTCACTGGCGGTCCAGGCGGCCGACACTGAGGCGCGGGCCACCTGGTAAGTAGAGAAGAGCGCAGCACAGCCCCGACTAGTACATACCAAGCCCGGCGCTCAAAGGATGGACATCCTAGGTACCTTGGAAGTATTAAGACTACTGCCTAGATACTCCGTGGAGGTAGTCACCTGCTCGTCATTGCAGCAGGAGTACTCCGTACTCGGTACAGCAGTACGGAGTGCTACCATAGTAATCGTACACCACCCTCCTGAGGAGTGGTTTAGGAGTTCTCGCCCCCGTAGGAATACATGGTATGTATACCGTATTCTGTACTCTGTACTCCGAGACTGTACTTATTTGCTAGGACCTACGGAGCACGGAGTATGTACCAGCAGTACTCTGTACACAGTACTCTGTACACAGTACTCTGTACTCCTGTGAGAGACTGTCACATCTGCCTAGGTACCTCGGTACATGACTATCTACGCAGTACTGTAGTCCGCAGTCCTCCGTACATAAGCACCCAGTCACACACGAGGACAGACCGGGGCAGGCCAGGACAGACCAGTACGGGGTACGGTACAAGATAAAAGAAAGTACATACTGTAGGTGGATTCCCCGACCATACGTGTCGGGCGCAAAGCATACGACAAGATGCCCTTAGGTTCCCGTGTTCGCCATACTACTACTTACTGTACAACCCTGCGTACAGTACATGCTCGCACTCGCCCTCTGACTCGACTCGTCTTGTACTCATATCGTCTTCATGGTTCGCAATGCGCTACCTACCTAAGTAGAGCGTCAGCGCGTGTGCAGCGTCGAGCATAGAGCGTCGAGCATAGAGTGCGGGACTGGCCTGTCCGCCTGCCTGTCGTGCCTGTACATACTGTACTGTACCTGACCGTGCGAGGCTGAGCCTAGGGACGAGTCTTGGGACGAGTCTTCGTCCGCCAGCACTGTATGGCCGCGTCCTTCCTCCTGCGTCCTGCGTCCTGTGTACTCCCTCACACACCGACGACCTACGGCTGTGATTCTTCCGGGACCAAAGACACTCTGTTACGGTGTTAACGCATGTCTTGCTCTCAGACTCTTCTTGCTTGGCAACCGCGAGCACCGTAGTACGGCAGCACCGCAGGGAGACAGTCGAGGTCTTTCTCGTCGTACCTGGCGGAGTAACACGTCTAGAGTCGCAACACCATCACGAAAGCGCTTGCTACTTTTTACTCGGACTCGGACTCGCAAGTTTTAGGAGTTTCATATTTCTCGCTTGAACCACTGGTAGGGAAACACGGGCGACTGGACGCTTCCAGTCCAATCCACCACTTCATCTTTCATCTTCAACACATGAGAATCCATTCCTGTCAATACTTCCACCACACTAGTTAGACCAAAAACAATCCACTTTTCAAAAATGCAGGGGGGGCCATGGATTCAGAACGCAGTGCAACTCGGACATATGAAGGTATACGTGTAACTGCTGGCGCTCTGGCGCTTTCATGTCCCCGACAAACGCCGATTCCGCTCGTCCCATGATGACATATAATGGAATGTTCTTGGTGAGGTGACATAGATACAAAGATGATCGGTTGGGGAGGGTCTGATGATTAGATATTATAATTCTTTCGGGTCGTTTCATTGCGTATAGCCGGGAGGTTTGCCGCTAGGCGCCGGTCCTTTGCCGCCAGGACCACCCGGAGGACCTCCAGGACCTTTCATGCCCGGACCACCGGGACCGCCAGGACCGCCACCTGGGGGACCACCGGGGCCACCTGGGCCTCCAGGACCTCCGGGGCCTCTACCGCCCGGAGGACCCTTGCTGGCGAGACTGCTTCGTTTCCTCAGCTTCTCTCCGAAGAGCCAGAGGAGGATAGGGACAGGAATGCCGATGCCGACGGCGGCAAGTGCCAAAACGGTATTACCCCAGCCGAAGTCGAGGGCCTTGTACATGATGGGGGCGAAGAGCGGGAAGCTGAAACCAGCCAGTGACCGTAAGATCGTGACGGCAGCCACAGCAGAAGCGGCGAACCGGGCGTAGGTGTCGACAAGGTACGTGGTGACGCATTGGAATGCAGCGATCGTGCCAATGCCGAACAGGAAGGAGCCGATGTTGGGAACAATCCAGTGGGTTTTGACTTGAGCGGACCATCCGTACACCAAGAGGCCGATGGGCACAAAGAGCGAGAAGGGGATGACGACTGGCATACGGTATTCGGGTTTGCCCAGTCCTCGGGGATCCTTGGCCTTGAGCTTGCGGTAGACCTTGTCGCCAGATTTGCCGCAGAGAGGGGCACCGATGAAGAAGCCCAGACCGAGGGAGATGTAGTTGAGACCAGCAATGCCGACGGATTCTCCGTAGACCTTCATGTACAGGTTGGGGAACGTGGAGAGAGCGAGGTACAGGATTCCGTACGAGAAAGCCATGTAGAGAGCCAAGACCTGGACGATGGGCTGGCTGAACAGCATGCCAAACGATCGGACCATGGTCTTGACGATCTTCTTCCAGACTGGCTGGTCCACCTCACCTTCGCCTTCTGCGCGGTAACGGTTGTCGCCAGTCTGCTTGCGAATCATCTTGGCCTTCTTGTGCAGGATGTAAGGAGCGTAGGTTTCGTTGAGTTTCCAGAATCCGGCCGCCAGGATGAAGGCGTTGACAATCGACGAGGCATAGAACATCCATCGCCAAGTGGACTTCTCGGCGACCCAGGCGCCCACGATCGGACCAATGGCGGGACCGAGAAGAGGCCCCATCGCGTAGATACCCATGGCCTTGCCACGCTCTTCGGGCTTGAACAAGTCACCGAGGACACCACCACCAATGGCCAGGGGAGCAGAACCACCGAGACCGGCCAGGAAGCGGAAAGCCAGGAGCTGTGCGGAAGACTGAGCAAAGCCACAGGCCGTGTTGAAGGCCAGGAACAAGACGTTGGAGGATTGAAGGATGACGACACGGCCGTATAATTCGGAGAGAGGCCCCAGAATCATAGGACCGATCGCGTAGGCCAAGACGAAGATGGACAGAGTCATCTGCAGCTCAAAGTCGCTCTTGATGTCGAAGTCTTCTTGGATCTGGAACAAGGCGGGTGCAATCATCGAGGAAGCAAGAGGTGACAGGAAAGTGAATGCCGCTGTGAGCATGGTGATGGCCCATTTCTTCTTGCTCGGCCAGTTCTTTGGGTTAAGCGGGTCATTAGGACCTTCAAACGTGACCTGCAATGCGAAGTTAGCCCTGGTCTTGTTCGATCGAGTACGTTCGTGCGCGAGACTTACATCGAAGGGATCCTTGGGCTTCTTGGGACCTCCCGGACCACCAGGACCGCCGGGGCCGCCGGGGCCACCACCAGGCTTCTCCTTCGGTAGGAAGGGGGTGGGGGTAGCAGGGCCGTTCTGGGCTTCAAGATCAAACTTGGCTGGGTCCTTCCTGTCTAACATGCCGTGGCTATGACCATGGCCATGGTCTTCCTCGCACGTGCACCAGGACTCATGTGAATGTTTGCTGGTCGCTCGGTCCATCGGAGGAGTCATTTGTTGTGACAACGGTCTCTTCTCATCTCGAGGATATGTATTATGTAGTGTGTTCATGGCTAACGTCTCTTCTGACTGGGTAGGATAACGAGGAACTGACTGGTCGTACAGGGAATCATTGCTGTTTAGGTAGCCTTCTGCCAGTAATCTCTGGTTCGCTACAAAGTCTTGGTCACGGCCGAGGTAATGGTCGTCGCTGACTATCCTCGAGTCTCGCGTTCGGAAGGACGGGGCGTAGGACTGTATCGAGTCTCGTTGCTGATGAGACCGCATCGACCCCTGATCGTCGTATCGGCCGACGTGGTAGTCGGGGCCATCATCATACAGGACAGCGAAGGTAATCTCACTGCTGGCACGGTCGGAGCCAGGTGAGGGTTCAGCAGGTAACGAACGGTGTCGGTAGGGTTCGGTGGAGTTCAAGCGTCGTAGTGACGGAAATCTCGAGTTCAACGCCGGCTGGGATAGGGGTCGGAGGAATCCGTTGCTGGCGCCATCATCCTCCATGTTGTCGGCTCTTGAGCTTGGTCGAATACTGGGATTATTGCCGTTCAATGTGGTCGGCAGGGCGGATGCGAGATGTCGAGGCGGTGATTGTTGTGCGTGGTTGGCCAGAGAAGTACCCGGACGCGATTGAGAGTCGTAGCCTCGCGCGACTTCCCAGCTGTCCCACGAATTGGGCGCCGCCAGTGTGAGGGAACGGTGGTGAACTAGGAACGAGCGTGATTTTGTGTCCGCCGACGATTACGGCCAACAACAAGAAAAACAAGAAGAAAAGAGTCCAGCAAGGTGTCGAGGCAGGGGCGGCAGGGCGGTGGTAGTGAAGGAGTGAGCGAAAGTGGTGAAGTAGTAGAGTCGGCAGGCAGGGAGGGGACCACGGCCAGGAATAAGACCCGCCGGGTGGTCGAGATGACGAGCCCTGGAATAGGATTGGGGGTTGGACGGGGGGGGTTGAAGGAGCGTGAGCTGGGCTGCCGACTCGCGAAGCTGGCGTGTGAGAGAGAGACAAAAAAGCGGGCTGCGGGTGCAGGAGCGGCCTGGCAAGTCGTCGAGCGCTGCGGCGGGCTTGCGGGTGGGCTGTGAGGCTAGTCTGCAACAGAAAGAGAGCACGACTAGGTGCCGAAGGCTCCTAGGCTGGAGCTGGTGCTCTGCGGCGGCGGGCCTGGGATGACTTGGACCTCCTGGGACAGCCACGGCTTAGTACTATCCGGGAATAGAGCCCTGGAAAGAGGATGCTTTGGATTTGGGAACAATTACCACGCACGCCTGGGTATCCCCCCCCCGGGAACACGCTTTCTTTCAGGCCCGCGATCTGAGACTCTGTCGCTCCAATAATATGATTTCGCCGTTTCAGCGGCTGGTCGGTGCTCGGCTATGGGGATGTGCGATGGAAGAGGGACGGAGCAAGTCACTTCTATGTAAGCCCTTGGAGGACGTTGAGGATCTCGTACGGATCCTGTAAGACGCACTTTGTGAGTCGCCGGACGAAATGCGAGCGGTTGAGCTGGCTGTCGAACGGACCGTCGAAATACGGACGGAGACGCGAGAAATTGGGAGCTGAAGCCTCTCCAGCTTTGATTGGGCGTGCAGCGCGAGGTGGCAAGCTGCAAGTGATCGATTACCAGGGGAAGTGATGGATAGTCACGACAGCTCTCGGCCCGTGGACTGTGTAGAAGCCAGAAGATGGAATTTCTGCTACAGATGGCACAACATACTCGGCCGGGATCTCGAGCCAGCGGTGGTTCATTGCATCAAGGACACGGGAAGGTCTGGTATGCTCGTCTGGAGCATTTTTCATGGTCACAGAGCATGCAGTGCATGGGTACATGGCCACGGCTGAGTGAATCATTTGGCCCATGACGGCTATCGTGCATATCTCGGAGGTGTAACTTTGGCGATAGCCTGTTTTACGAGCCTGCCAAAATCCGGAGACAGGGATGTCATGGCTGGCCGCCGGGCTGTCGCACTCCACGAACCGTCCCTTCGACCTCGTCTCCCGCGGTCGATCACCTTGTACTCGAGGCCACGAGCGTTCGCCGAGCTGCCTTTGGATTCACGAGTTCCTGTTCACAACAACATGGCAAGCACCATCGCCTCCGAAGAACCTGTTCGGCGGGCTCAGAGCCATGCGAACGACATGAGGTGCAGCGTCGTGGAGGAGGCGGGGAGCCGACGACAGCCTTAGTGGAGATTTCCAGGGACTCATTGGTCAGCCGGCGAGCTTGGGCGCACTTTAGGCCTCCTCATCCGCCGCGAAATGGCCCCATTCGAGCGATTGACATGTGGAGTGATGCTATATTCAGTCCGTAGCGCCATCACTAACGGGACAGTGTGGATGCCGTGGTCTGCGCCGCAATCTTGGTCGCGGGCAAATCAGACTCGCCCTGCCCCTGCTTTGCATCGGCAGTCTCTCCACGGACTTTATCGTCCGACTGACCGCCTCGTTCCTAGCCGCTTAGCGATATCGAGTATGGTGCGGTGCCAGTCGGCCAATCGAGTGGAATCTTTTTGCCTGAACTGACAGAGCTCGTTTGGCCCTCGCTCTGCCATCACCGCAATGCCGGCACACATCAATGACGGCTTGATGGAACGATCATGGTCCCGGATCAAGGGCGATAACGTGCGTGAATCACAGAGGATACCGAGTATGGGATCTCATGTCCGAGTCTGCCGTGATCTTATGGGTGTCCTCTGCCGTTGCTGATGACAGCCTTGTTGGGATGGGCAAGAGGAAAAGGGAGAGGAAAAGGGAGAGGCAAATCCCGATGATCAGTTAATCTCCTCCTCCTCGCCTGCAATTTCTCAGCACCATCTTGGCGCCCCTGATAGTCAACATCAGTGTAATAACCTACGTTTTCTCTGCGGTCCGGCTCCCAGTCGATTTGCACGAGGGCTCCTCTTGGTGTTTTCGCCTAAGCGAGACCCTTCTCCTGTGGCACAGATGCTACGAAAACCACCTGTCGATGAAGGTTCGAGAACGAAGCATGGCACAACTTCCCTTCTCCCTTCCAGCTTCGCATGTACGCATTGCCGCTTCGGGTCATGAGCTCATCTTGTCAAAGTATAATTGGCACCTGATTGGTGTTAGATTCTTTCCACCAAGGCCATCCTGACCGGATCGAGCGGCCTCAACCTCGAGCCCAACGACGTGTCACCATCACACGCTAGCTATGCACATACTTTGGCTCTCTCTATCTGGTTATCAGTTTCATGAGACCCTTTCTTTGGTGTGGCCGAAGTATCCGGCTCCATCTAAGAGCACTCACGTGGGCTTGGATTGGCTTCGTCACCTTGAATTCGTGACTTTGCCGAATGCTGCTTGTACGTATGTAGTTCGACCAGTGAGTCCAGGTCTCGCTAGCCCACAGCTCCAGTACACTGTCTAAGTGAATCCACGATGTGCTGGCTTTGTATATTGAGCTTGCGGGGGCGTGTGCCTGATTTGCTTAAACTGGAATCCAGGGCCGTCTGCGGGATTATCTGGTTGGCCGATCGAGGCTTGATCAAGAGCGCTGTTCAAAGTGAGATCTGGAATGTGGTCCGAGTTTACTCGCACAGCGGCCGATGAAGCCGTACCCTCAGCCCTACCCTGTGACTTTCGACCCCAGAAAAACGTGGGAGCCTCCTCGCCAACTCACACGCACGGAGAATTCTGCCTTGGCCGATGTCCAGGGGCTGAGGCAGGATTCGTCGCTCGACGCTAAAGTGTTGCGCCGGTGTGTGATAACAATAGCAACATCCCCACAACGATGGCTTGTGAGAAACAGCACCGTCGCTCCCGAATCACGGTCTTGTACATAGCGTGCAAGGACCAGTGAATGTGAACCTGACACATTCATGCAACATTCCGGACAAAACTTGGCGAACGGGTCATCGTGGGTGATATCCACAAGAGTACACATGAAATATGCCCTTGAAGGAACGTATCCGCAGATTCCAAGGACTAGGGTCTCCCTTGCTTCTGAGATGGCGGGCGTGCGTCACTCCGGCGCCTAAGAAAAGATTCTCTCCAAACTCGAGTGGTATGCGGAGCAAGATGGCGCAAATTCCGTCGTCACCTTGCAAAACACGCGAAAGCCCACGGCTTTGCTAACCTCACTGCTGGTGCTGGAGCCTAAGTGCTGGGGATACACTACTTATTTGTGGGCTTTTGTGCAACATATTCCGTGTTCCAGTCTGGATTTCGCCGTGGTGCTGCTTTCCAGCACTGATACCACTCGCTGGGCCTTTGGTAAAGAAGTTTTGTTGATGCCGAGGGGGTCACCAGCCAGCAGGCGCCGATAAGCCTAGACAGGTTGAACGCCGGTTTGTAGGCGCACTCGTACGAGTAAGGCTGTGTCCGAGTGAACCATTTAAAGCACTGGCAGCTTAACATTCATTCGCTCATGATTAGCTCCGAAGCAGGTCGCAAACGCATGAATACTTTGTACTTATGTGCGTAATATGCGTCCAGCCACTCACTTTTCAGCTTGGCAGTCCGTGGTCTAGCACTCCATGCTGCACGTCCGTTTGTTCCGGAGAAACAAGCTCAAATTATTCGGTTTTGAGGACGGCCAGCTGAGACCCGCTTGGCCGAGTCTTCAATAACTCTGCTTCTGTACGGAGTACTGTGGTTCTCCGTAATGTGTTCTTGGCCGCAACAACATTGACTCTAGAATCGTTCTGGAGCGTGTTGGCGGCTGTAAGGTCAGTGACGTTATCCCGTGCTCTGCCTCACGAAGGCTCCGACATGACATGGTGCTTAGAGCACTGTGGACATGATGCGTATTGGTGCAGGGGTTTTGGGTTTGCTCTCAAGCTTCTGTCGGAGGTGTTGAGCAATGAAACAATTCGCTCACAGCCCTGCAGAGAGTAAATGCTTTTTTGCTCCAGCCTCCCCAATGACATGCTCACCCGGCCAAACGATGACCTCCAAGTCAACCACTGATAGTGGCTGATCCGCATGACGCGAGGAGTTTGTCGCGTCGAGCCGCGGTGTAGAAAGTTTCTATCATCGAATCTTAGAACATTTCATAGGTGGCTTTGATATCCGTGCTTGAGCAAGGACCGACTTGGTACTTAGGTCGCGTGCTGCAAATACTCGTATCGTCCACATTTTCAGCCAAACACTGTTCAGAGCATTCCATATCTTCTCTTTCTCCCAGCCACCCGATATTTCGAGCGATACTCATAGCGCTCTTGCAGAACTGCTGACCCCGCACATTCGGTTCTGGATGAGCTCCTCGCTTGAGACACTCGCTTGGTGGTACGAGAACTCTTGCCAGGCGCTGATCTGAGACATTGATACGCAACGCCACATGAAGAATTTGGTGAACTCGTGATAAACCTCCATATCATGCGCCTCGCATCATCCAGGCCAGTGATTGGCTCGTTAAGGCAACCCAGGGCGCCTCCTGAGGGCATATCGCGCCAAAGCATTGCGTTCCAATGTGGAACTTCGACGTCAGGTAGCTTGTACTCATGCTGTTGTCGACGTGCTCCTCTGTCATCGAGCTAGCGGTGTCCCGCAGTAGACATGGACGCCACATAGACTATCTTGAGAGCGTGCTCAACATGCGGGTGTCAACGATCCGCCTGTTGCCCATACCGTGGTATGGATTGTTCAGAAGACCCACGTGGACGCCTTTCTTCTCAATACAATCAACTGTGGAACAGATAGGGTCAGCGGATGGCCGTTGGAGGGCCACCAACGCTCACAAGAGGGAGGTGCTTCTCGTAAGATCAATTTGGCTGTATGACGTTGCCGTGACCATCTCGGTCTCTGTTTGCTCGCCAAACGCCCTCCTCGACTTCCCCCGTATCCGCAAACCACTCTCTCTTCCAGATTTCGGCCCGGGCTTTCACCCTCTCCAAAATCTCCTCCGCGGCTTTCCAAGCACTGGCACGATGACCACTGCTGACGACAACGGCAATGCTCTCCTCTTCGATCTTGACTTCGCCGAGGCGATGAACAATGGCAACCTTTTCTAGCCCGTGTTTCTTCTGCACGTCCTCGGCGATCGCAAAAAGAGACTTCAACGCGAGAGAGGGGTACGCAGAATATGACAGCCGAGAGACCGGACGGTGATCGAAGTTGTTGCGAGTAGTGCCGAGGAAGAGGACATTTGCACCTGCGGTGGGAGAGCGAGTGAAGCGGAGGTATGTTGGTATATCGAGAGGATTATAGACTAAAGAGATGTAAATAGTCTCGGAGTCAAGCGTTTGAGGGAAGTTTGAAGGGTCAAGAACAGACAACGACGACGACGACGACGACGACTTGCTTGGCTTCGCAGAGTCTTCGGTCCCGTGTGTCGCAGGGGCTGACCCTTCGGTGGCCATGGCAGAGTCAAGAGCGCTGAGCTCTTGCAAGACTGTAGCTCGTGATTAAAACCAAAGGAATGATGATCAGTGTGCAATGAGCGTCAAGTCAATCATATATCGCCTGCACAGGTCGTCTTGATCATCTTCACAGTAGCCCTGGCAGCCTTTTGTACGTCCTTCACGCGAGTCCAAAGCGCAAGTTGTTCTTGTATGTGCGGCGGACGGGTGCGGCAGATGGCGGGTGGAATGGCGCTTTTCGAAAGGTCCGGCGCAGAAGGGACACTCGCTCGTACGAGTAGCAGTGACACTCGACATTCGAGTAGCGATTTCGCGCACGACATCTGCACTACGTCATAGCATGGTGGCACGGGAGGGCACAGGCCAATCTTTCATCCCCGTCTCACATCCCACTCACCTTCGACTCAGCCAAACTTCACCACTCATGAGATCGGGGGTACAGGTACCTTCGTACTCGTGTCATCTGGATAGGTATGCCAATAAGGAACTTCTGAAGATCGATGCATTCTCAGTTCCCGCCCTGCTACCTCGTATCTGCCGACGGACAACACATCTTTCTTGCCCAGCCGTACCTCCTCCTTCCATCCTATTCGCCCACAACTTCTTGCACAACCCCCTCCCCACACAAACCCAAAAAAATATTGTCCGAATTGTGCCAAAAACAACGCTTTCTCTCCATCTCAATGGAGCCACGTCTATGCCGTGACCGGCCCCTTTCCCTGCGTCGCATTCCACTCATATAGGACGGAACCCTCATTTTATGTGTCTAAGAGTCTCCCCTGCATGAGAATTGGCCCGAAAGAGCAACCATCCTTCCTAATGAAGAACTTCATGACACGACACTTGAAATGAAGTGGCTGGGGCGCGATCAGATTGGACGGCAGCCGTATGCAAGATATGAGACGGCGCGATCTTGATTTCTGGTTCCTGTCAAGGGGTCAGTGCTGAATATAGACTGCGCGCACACAACATCGTCGGTCAAAACCCCGAGAATTTTGGCCCGTGGATCTGGGTCGGATTGTGTTCGATCACTGGATTGGTGGCAACAAAGCTGCACACAGGATACTCGTACACTTTCCCATTTTATCTCCCGGGTATCGATGTACAGTAAGGTGTAGTTGAGAGGAGGATTTTCGCCAACCCATCCCATCCCATAACCATGCCGTTGAACGAACTCTTGAGAATCAGTCCTTTGCTCGATATCTCATGCCGAGCTCACCTTTGACCTGACCACTGCAAGACCAGATCTAGTCGAGCTCAGTATTGTTTATGTGAAAAGGGGAGCTCTTGTACATAGTATTCACACTCCGTCGCCATGCCCAATGAATTTCACCATCGCTTAGGGGTTTGTTAGTTGGGTATTTCTCGACATCTCGGTCGAGCTCTCGCTAGGTCGGAGCCGGCAATTGCGGTCCGATCGTCGAAAGTACAGGTCATTGACCCGGGGACCGCAGCCCAGGTATAGCATCCATGGCCTTCTCAGCAGCTGTGCCTGATACTGACGTGCGGCAAACGTCCCGAACGTCTCGAACGTCTCCTAGATTCACTGCGTCCGAGCCGCAACCGCCTCGACTCGCTCCTTCTTCTGCAAATACGGCAACGGCGTCGTATCGATCGGTTTCTTCTCCCTCCTCCAGTCCCTGATATGCTGCAGTACTATCGCGGCCGCACTCTCTGGCGTGTCCTGTCTGCCGATACATTCCACGAAGTCGCCCTCGGGATCCATTACGTAGAAGTATATGCTATGATCGACCAAGTAATCTTCCTCGCCGGGCTTGAACTCGGGCGGCGTGGAAAAGTACACGCGATATTGCTTGCACACGTCTTTCGTCTGCTGCCACGTGCCGACCAGTCCGATGATCGAGGGGTGGAACTCGGCAAGATACGCCTTGAGCACGTCCGGCGTGTCGCGATTCGGGTCGCAGGAGATGAAAATCGGGCGCACCGTGTTGGGAGCCCTCTCTTGGATGATGTCGAGGGCTTCGCCCATCTTGTCCAGCTCGTCCGGGCATATGTCAGGACAATGGCTGAAGCCGAAGTAGATCTGCAGACCCGGACACACGCGGCGTCATGTCAGCGGCGTTCGAATCCACAGGCCGTCTTATCTCTGGTGGCATGAAACCCTGTAGTGCGGTCCAGGGGTTACTCACCAATGAATACTTCCCCAGCAGATCTTTCTCTGTAAACTCATTGCCTTCGACGTCTTTCAATGTGAATGGCCCTCCCACTTTCGGCTTCCCGTACCCCTTGCTCATCTCGACGATCCTCTTTCTCTCGAGCCTCTTCTTCTCATATTGGAAGTAAAAGATCATGCCCGCGCCGACCGCCAGGAATAGACTCGCTGATCTGAATGAGAACGGCTATACGTTGCGCACACAATGCGTTAGATGTGGGAGACGTACCGCGGATGAAGATACGTACGCCTGTGCGGTGGTACAGCTTGTCTCCTGCTCTTAACCTCGGCGTGGAGGATGTGAAGGCTCGGGAATGGAGGCATTGTGGTGAAACGGGGTGGCGACGTGTGGGAGAAGGTCTAATTGACGAGGAAATAGTCTTTGTTGTTTGCGAGTGGAGCGCATTGGGCTTTAGTGAGGCTGGTTGCGCATACAGCCGTCGGAGGATATGCTGGAGCGACGGACACGGCTTCGACATCTTTGCCCTGCGGTTGTAGCGTTCTTGAATGTTGCAGAGGGATGGTCGCTTGAACGGGAGAAGCTGCGAAAGTGAACTCTGATACTGCCACAAGTAGGAGAATGCTCCGTCCTATGCCGGATACGGTGGAGCCTCTCACAGAATGTGCAATTACTTCGGCGAGAATGAAGAGATCAAATGTATTCGTTATGACGAAAGCAAGAACTTTTCGTTTTCATCATTTTGTTACATGTCCTTCATATATGCCTCCCTACGCTCCAAATTTCAGATATCTTGTTCACATCATAACGCCAGGTCCGACCCCAAGTGTTTCCGGCACATTCATATACGGGTCAACCTCAACCCAACCGCTCCAGTCCCATGCCAATGCTGAAGCACCACCAAGCCACTGCTCCGCAGGCAATGACATCAGTTCATACATTTGTGGAGGGCAGTTGAACCATGATGAATCTGCCTTGACCGCCGGGCCATCGTACGGTAATCCCGGCTGAGGAAACCCAGTCATAGGAGTAGGGTGGTTGATCGAGGTGTATCCGTCCTTGATACTGCACATCTCGGACTCATCGCTTGCGCTTGAAGTTTGATGTATTAAAGGTGGTGGCCTGGTCGGAAGATGTTGTAGCAGCCGACGCAAGATGCGAGCGGCTTTGAGGCACACATCGCTTCGTCCCGCCATGTCCTCAAATCGCAGCTGGCACTTTTGGATTGCTCCGAGAAATTGTGCTCGATGTGCATCTGTAAGGCTGTCGTCGGAAGCAAGCAGGACGCGTAGGGTAGAGGCCGCCAGGAATGCCTGGAAGCTCCCAAGTGAATAAACAAACCACCGATAGGGCTTGAAACGAACGTCGCAACACAGATCCTCGTGGTGGCTTAGGAGAACCATGGCTGCAGTCGTACAATGTGCTCGGCTCTGAAGGACTTGCTCTGGGGGTTGGGTAACCCCTCTACCTGGAACTGAGCCAAATGCGTGGAGGTAGGGCCTGTGGAGAATGAGTCGTAGGTAGTGTATATAATTGTTGAGGATATACTGGTGGGCGATGTGATAGATCGGGAGCTGCTGTCCGTCCGCAAACCTTGCCTCATGTAGATTCTCCTCTGCGGTGATACGCCGCTCGAGCTCGTGGAGACTGCTAATGTCTCTGCCATCCCTAGCAAATTGACATATGTCCGAAGCCAGGGAATACAGTTTGAATTTCAGAAGAATGTATGACATTTTCGTAGGTGGCCTCGTGTCTGTACCTTCGGCATAACGTTGCAAAATTCCGCCCAAAGAGATGTCCTCATCGTCTATGTCTGCAGGCAACCGGACACTGGCCGATTCGTTTAATTTCATTGGAGCGAGGTTACCCAGGGTGGTGTTTTGAATGGTGTAAAGCAACATCAAACCGGCCCAACAGCGGCGTCTCTGCTCACTCCTCACGGGGTCAAGGTTTAGCTGCGAGGGGTCGATATGGCAGCCTAGTGAGACGCAGATGTGGAAAGTTGTCCCTAGCAAAGCCCATGAAGGACCATGAGCGTGTGAGATCGCATATATAAGTAGCACCAATGCTTGTACAGTATGCAGATTGTGTCGCCAGAGGAACTGGTCGGCGGACAGGCATCTCATGGCCGCGGATCGGTACTTGGTCGCCAGACTTTTTATATTAGCTGAGGGATCGGCCGCATGCCCGAGGTCTGTCAATAGCGGGTGATCGGAGTCCAATGCGTTGACAGATATGGAGAGGATCACAAACACTAACGCCAGGAAGGAGAGGGACACTTCCCCAGGGCATCGGCAGAAGTTGGCGTATTCCATATGGAAGGTCGGATCATGAAGAATGTGGAAAAGCTATTCAAATGGGAGGTCAGCATATGTAGCTCTCTGGAATTCATGCATATTGAGAGTCACGTCGGTGCAGCGAAGTGGGCGACGGGGATATTTTCAAGTTGGCACTTCTGATGGACTGAGGAAAAGTACAGAATACCCGTTCGTTCCAAGACCAGCTACCAGGTAAGAGAGGGAAATGCATCTTCTCGTCTTTGAGGATCTCAATGCCTAAAATAGGGCCCTCATCACCGATCACCGAGGTGTCCCAGGGTTTGAGACACTCCTGGTTTGTACATGGTGTGGAGGGGAAATTTGGGTTACATGGCGAAGAAACATACCGGTGAGTAGACTTCGAAGAATATGTCCTTGAGTTGATCACGCTGACGGAATGGTGGCAAGTGGTCCAGAAGCGCTTGCCGCGACGGGATTGCTTCGTCGGCGAATGGAAAACCTGTCGCCATCGGGGGCGCCGAAGTAGCTTGAATCAGTTCGTTGACGGCTTCAGCGTCTGCAGAGGCGATGCCAGGAACGAAGCGCTCGTATCCATTCCCATACATGAGAACAGCACCAACGGTCTTTGTATCGGCCACGTCGGAATGGCCAGCGTCGATCTCATTCCACGGAGACGAGTTCAGTGAGGACGGCTGGCACTGAGACTGGCTATCTTGATTCGATGAATACGCATTCGGGGCGAGGTCATACCGCTGCTCAAGCAGGTGGCCCTGTCTTTCGAGCAGACTCTCAATCCGATTCAGTTTTCGTAGTACCTCATCTGGATTGGAGGCAGAGGGCGTCTGGATGGGTTGTCGAAGGTAGAAGCAGGTTTGACTGAAGCCACGACGAACGCAAGTCTGACAAAATGGACGCTCTCCGGAGCATTTGCTGCAGCGGGGTCAGCATCTACTGGCAATGCCCTCGATAGACACGAGAGAATAGCCAAGAAGCGATTCGCGGTCTCTTCGAAGCAGAGGAGTGAACTCACATCTTGCGCTTCCTACAATTTTCACAGCTCAATGGCTGCCGTTTCACTGTCTGGGGCATCATCGTAGACGGTCAACAGCGAGGTGTGATTCTCAGTAATTCCAGCCAGAAGCAAAGATATTCGGCCTTTCTACGGCCAGCAAGCAGTGACAGGAGAATTTACATTGCCGATGTACTTGGACAATGTCGTGTATTTGACCATTGGCTTTGGACGAAGTGAGGCGAGAGTGTGGAGGAAACGACCAAAGTTACAGATTAAGCGTCAAAGAGGAGAATCTGGGGCCGGTGGCGCCACCAGCGCCTGTTGGCCAGCTTAGGTGAGTCTGGGGGCGCCCGGACAGCGACTTCCGGGGCTCGATCGGGATGGCTCGGCGGCCAAGGGCCCGCTAGACAGTGCGCTGAACTTTTCCTGCTTCCGCGCCAGAGCCTTTGCCAGGCTGGGTAGGGATCCTCCAGCAAACGAGGAAATCTATCAGAGACGACGCCTTTTTCGTGCGTGTCGCGCTCAATTCTCGCTCAGCAAAGTCCCATGTGACGTTTAGTGCGTGGTCTACAACTCGAGTTAGGGTTTGTTTGACCTCGGGAGCGTAATTTTTATCCCTGCTCTAATGCACGGTCAAATGGAACATTGCGGATTTAGGCCCGGTCAGAAACCCTGCCGCCTCCTGCAACTTGAGACCATCCTGGTGCCTACTGCTTCGCTAGGAATGTTGTCACGGCAGAGGACACACTTTCCGTATTCTCAAAGAGGTGCCAGTGTGCAAGCTTCGGCAGAACGATTACCTCCTCGCAGCCGGGTATCTTCTCCTTCATCTTCCGGCACATGTCGGGGGGTGAGACTTTATCTTCCTCGCCGGTAATGATCAGCACCCTTGCCTTCAACGCAGATACATCAAGAGTGTCTCGGTGTGAATCGGCAAGTGCCACACAAGCTTTGGCATATCCTTCGGGGTCTTGTCCCAGCAGAGATATCCGCGCTGCAGCAAGGGCCAGTGGATTCTGCGATTTGCTGTGATCGGAGAGCCCTGCACCCACGACAGCATCCACAACTCCCAGCATCCCCTTTTCGCGAGCAAGGGCGGCCCGCGCGTAAGTGGCCTTGCTGGCAGCTTCCGGGAGCGGTGAAGGCCCGGGTCCTTGCAGGATAAGCGTCTTGACCAGATCCGGATGGTCCAAAGCCAGCCTTATGGCAACGAGGCAGCCCATTGAGTGAGCGACAACAGTGAGGCCAGAGTCGGCATTTATTCCAGCCTGAGAAAGAACCTGGTAAGCATCGGATGCCAACGAAGCAATGCTCAATTTGCTTGTTGCGGACGTGGGTGACAGGCCGTGGCCCTCAAAATCCGCAAGGTGGTATGCCCACGCGTCACCCAGCCTTGTGATAATGGGTTGGAAGTACTCCGAGGTGCCGCCAAGCCCATGGATAAAATAAATCGGCCTTCCACCGTCACTGCCTCTCCTTTGGTAGAACAATCGCTTTGAGCCGACAGAGATAAGCCCGCGACCTTCGACAGTTCGCTCATTTGCCACTGGTACGGCAGGCGATACGACGTGGTCGAGTATTGTGGCGCGGGACTCTGGATTTGCGATCTTGTTGGTCAATGTGCCGAGACCTGTGACTGAGATTTTGACCACGTCCCCAGGCTGGAGCCAGATCTTGGGATCAAAGCCAAAGCCAACTCCGGCAGGGGTTCCGGTAGCTAACACGTCTCCTGGCTGAAGTGTCTGTGCCGCGGACAGGGTCTCAATCAGCACCGGGATGCTGAATATCAGGTCTTCTGTCGTTGCTTCTTGCCGCTTCTCCCCATTCACCGTGGTGGTGACGGAGAGTATTTCGGGGAGCTTTTCCTTGGGAACAGCGATTGGCCCCATGGGTGCAAAGGTATCGGCCCTGTACGTCGTGGTTAGCGTGCACTGTCTCCCTTGAATGATACTCGGTGCTTTTTCTTTCTTGACAAAAGCCAGGATCTTGCTCACGATTTGCCAATGTAGAACTGCTTGTGGTCGCGCTGTCGCTCACGGGCGGTCACGTCATTAATGATGGTGAACCCCCAGACGTGGTCGAGTGCATCTGCCTGGCTGATCTTAAATCCAGGTTTCCCGACAATGACCCCGATCTCTCCTTCATAATCGAGAGATTCGGTGAAGCCAGGATGCGGAAAGATCTCATCTCCGTCGGCAACTGCTGAAGTCCATCGCTTGGTGAAAATGACTGGGTGCGCTGGCATGTCCACCTTGTCGGAGCTATCGTAGCTGCAAAATCCAAAGAGTCAGCATGGTCTGGAAATATTGGCGAACCTGGCAGGGCATACCCCGAAGCGTTAAATTCTTTCGCATGAGCCTGCAAGCTGTCAACAGCCAGCACAACAGATACTCGAGGCGATGCCCACCGCATAGTTCTTCCCAACCGCCAGAATGTCGCGGCCGTAGATAGGCGGCAACAGCTTCGCTTTGCTTCGAGGGAAGGGTTCGCCACCTTGGATGAAAGCATCGTCGCCTGCCTCTATAACTTCGTAGAGACTCCTTACCGGCGTACCAGAGACATAGGAAAGGGGTGTAATCGCGTGCGATTCCAAGTCCAGGTGTCCAATGCGCGGCTGTCTGCTGCCCTCTCGAATATATGCAACGTAGTTGGTCAGTGTTGGCCCAGCAGACGCCACGCCGTTCGCAGAGGCTGTAGACATGGCTTTTCAAGTCACAGATTATGAGTTCAACTGCCTGTCAGAGAAGTTTCAAGTTGTCGTTCACAGGTGACTTTGCTACAGGTGAGCAGAGTTTAAGCTACGTCGATAAGCCTTCAACGTGCAAGAGTCGCGGCCATTACCCGAGACTTCGCTTCCGACGCCGATGCACGTCCAGCGGAAGAACGCGTTACCCCCCGAGTAGACGAGCACGGAGGGTTTACTCATACCTCGTACCGGCGATGCTGCCGGCAGTGTGCGACGAGATCGTGAAGCCGCGGGGAATCAAATGATGCACAAACCCTTACGTCATTGCCATTGCCATTGCCATTGCGTGGCCGCTACACGCCGCTTTAGTCCGCCGTAATCCGCCCTCATCCGCTCTTCACCGCAGGCCACCGACGCAGCTTCTTTTCTCTTTTCGACACGGTCTCAACGCCCGTCCTGACGCGCCGTGTGTCCAACATCTGGAGTCTACATGGAGGAATCAATGCTGCACATCATCGTCCAGACCGTCGACGCCAAGCCGCCAGATCAAGCTGCTACGCCACGAAAATGCTTGCGAGCGGCCATCACCCCGCAACTTAAACCAGTCTAAATGCCGGGACCTCAGATCCGTCAACCCAGTGCCGGGGACGGTATGAGGATCCATGGCAACGTGCAGATATCCATCATTTATTCAGTCGAGTTGCGTGACTGGCGTGATGTCGATCCAGCGACCGGCATCCTACCGATACTACCTCTGCCAGGGGGGATGCCGCCTAATGAATCGCAGGGGAAGAGCTGCTTGGGAGCTGAAGAAGCTCGAGGACGATCAACCCAATCAAAACAGCAATGAAGCATACTTGAACGTGGAATATCAACTCTGGCCAGGACTTTTCGTCAGGAACACAACATATTGAGATTCTCCTTACAGATTGAAGCAGCCCTCCGCCTCGGAGAACCACATCCAGACAATGTCTTCCTACGATGCAGCAGATCAGCTCGAAAAGTCGGCTGCCACTGAAGGTCAAGCGCAACGCATAGAACGCGTCCACACAAGGGGCGGGCACGAAGACGACCGAACGCAGCCGTCTCTTCCAGTGGTGCATCGATCGTTTGCCAACCCAGCGCCATTGGGATTGCTCTCTTTTGCGACCGGTAAGCACTCGCGCTCAGAAAGAAGTGAAACACATGGTGACCCAGACATCAAGGTATATTCTTGATCTCGGCCTACGGTGTCCATGTGCGAAACATTTACACCCCGAATGTCCTCGTTGCTATGATCATATTTTTCGGAGGGATATGCCAGTACATCTCGGGAATAATGGAATTCATTTCTGGCAACACCTTCGGAGCTACGGTCTTCTCCTCTTATGGAGCTTTCAACATATCCTACGCGATGATCTACCTTCCAGGCAGCGGCATTCTCGCAGCGTACACCGACAAAGCCACAGGCGAACTCAGCCCTGAGTTCAATCAAGCTCTGGCCATGTTTGTCTGGGCTTGGTTTATCCTGACGGTGATCTACACAGGTGCCGCTTGTCGTGCGTCGTGGGTGCTGTTCTTGGATCTCGCATTCCTCGACCTAGACCTGCTACTGTTGGCCTGTGGTTATATGTACAATAACCAGTCTCTGCTTGTTGCCGGCAATTCTGTCGGTTTTGTCGTGGCTGTCTTGAGCTGTAAGTCTCCAATCTGCATGCCCTCTGCATAGCCTTGACTAACACTCATTCCAGATTGGGCGGGCATTGCAGGCCTATACGGAGGCGGCGTGACCCCATTCAACGTTCCTACATTCCCAATGCCATGGGCGGAGAAGAACTGATCAATGAGGGCACATGCAAGGGCGGCGAGGACATGAAACACGCAGTCAGGTTCCTTGATTGAGAATTGCGTGGGGCCTCTGCTTAGAACATATATGTGAGAGATGTCGAGGTTGAGAAGGAACGCTGGTGAAGGAATCAATGTGCGACATTGCTACCAACCATCATCACCCAGCTTCGACAACCCGACATACCTGACTGACTCGGGAAATCTGTTCTTGATACCTTCAGTCCTGCCTACCCTGAGCGCACGGCCATACTGCTCCATAACGCTCTTCCCATGCAGCCGCCAGAATTGCCAGGAGCAGTCCTCTCCAACGAAGCTCATAATCACATCCTCACCTCCGGGATGTTCTGCAGCGAAGTCGGAGCAATCGTAAACAATGCTGTCTATGACAATCCAATATTCATTGTCCTGCGTCTGGTCCTTGTCGGAGATGGCTTCGTTTCTCGACTTGTATTGCTTGCTGCGTCCAAGTACTAGGTCCTTGGCGATAAAGGGGAGGTCGTCGTCTGATAGTGACTCTGGCACGAAAGGGTACTTTTTGCTGGCATCCGAGGACTTTGCAATGCCTTCTTGCGATTGATTGTTCACGTCTTCGACGTGGGCGATGTCAGCGTCCCGCTTGAGAGAGCCTGCCGGCCCGAATCGACCTCTTCGTACGGCTTGCATGGTTCTTCTGAGGACAGGTTTTGGAACAAAGGACGGGTCGTTACCCCTCCCGGGCAGGTACCAATTGGCCTGTCCGGGCTCTCATGAGCGTCTATCGAGCCAGATGGTAGCTTGAAGTACCGTTTCCTGGAGCGAGACCGCCCTTCGCCGCTGAAAACCGCCCGGTTGTCCTCTCGGTGCCGATCTTTGTTGTGAGCCAGGAGGAACGAAGCTTATGCCGACCCCAACGTGCCAGCTCGAATCATGGCACACGGAAGCACACCCACCTCCTTCCGCGCCCTGGCCAGATCCCTTACGTGGATGGCCGTGGCTGGAAGGACGCGGGGAGTCCAACTTGCGGGGTGCATGGAGAGAAAGCGGTTTCCGGCATGGATTAGTCTGGCACTTGTGCATTCCTTGAAGGTGATGGACTGCTTCATTGGCTGTGCAACCCCTCCCGTTCCTCAGATACATGTGAATACCTGGCACCGGTAAGATGCCACGATGCAGTGGCAATGGTCAAGTACAGACACCTTTCGACCGAAGACTCTTAGCTACTCCCTTATTCAAACCACCGACCTGCGACGGATTCCTGCCAAAGTCTGTAGGAAAGAGAATCAAATCCAGGCACCACTATTTGATCACAACTACGCAAGATGGCACCGGCAAGAATCGTCGACGACATCCCATGGTCGTCCCCTGCTTTTGTGCCCGAGCCTTACGAGGGTCCCCCGCGCAATGTTAAGGCCATCGACGCGATCAAGTTCAACGACGCCGTCAAATATCCAAAATACGAGATACTGGGCACTGACCCCGACTCGAAGATCCTCTTCGTCGATGTCAGTATCCTAGATTGTACAGGCAAAGAGCCATACCGCGGCGACGTGTATATTGAAGGTAACTGGGCCCAGTATATGCTGAGAACAGACATACCGCATGCCTTTGATCAACTCAGAGCGCTAACTCATAATCCCAGGCGAACGGATAAAGGCCGTCGGAGAGGTGCCCAACAAAGACGAAATACTTAAGAACCCGGATGTTCGGCTCTTCAAGGGGAATGGACGGACGCTCATGCCCGGTCTGGGTGACGCCCACACACATTTCAGTTGGAATGGCGGTGACCTCGCCAGTTTGGGTGGATTGAACGTCGAGGAGCATACACTTCTGACTGCCAGAAGTGCAAAATGTTATATTGATTCCGGCTATACCATGTACGCTCCCCGAGGCTGTGGCGAACCCAAGAGATACTGATGTTAGAGAAAAGGTGCTACGGAGCTGCCTCTGCCAAGGAGCGTCTCGATGTCGCCATCCGGGACGCCATCAATGCCGGAGACATCCCTGGACCGCGCTCAGTTGCGAACGGCAAAGAAATGGCCAAGCACGACGGTGATCTGGAGTCGGCAATCACAGCCTTTGCGGACACTCCGGACGAGATGCGAGAAGTCATCAAACACCACACTGGAATAGGAGTGGATAATATCAAATTGGTCATGTCCGGAGAAGAGGTAAGCCCCGACGATCGAAAATCCGAACCTCTCGTGGTCCTCAAGGCTAAGCAAAGTTCCCAGATTTGCGAAGTTCGGTCTGCGCAGGACTGCTATTTCACGGACGAAGAAACTGCCGCCTGCGTGGATGAAGCACACAAGGCCGGGAAATCCATCTGTGCGCACGCAAGAGCCAGAGATTCCGTGAAGATGTGCGTCAAGGTGAGTTATGTCCCAACGAGTGCCCTTCCCCCTTCGTTCTAGTCTTCAACGCCGGCTCACCATTTGTCTCCAGCACGGCGTCGACGTCATCTACCACGGCTCGTACATTGACGAAGAAGGCATGGACATGCTCGAGCAGGCGAAGACGAAGCACGTCGTCGCCCCAGCCATCAACTGGCTTGTGGCAACCCTGAACGACGCGGCAGCCTTTGGGTATTCGCACGAGAAAGCCGAACAAGTAGGCTACAAGAAAGAGCTCGACGTCGCGCTCCGAGGCCTCCGCGAAATGCACAGACGAGGCATCGTTGTTCTGCCCGGCGGGTAAGCCATTCCACCTCTTCTTGCATGACACCATCTCCTTCCCACACCAAAGGCCACAGCCCCATCTAACTCGGCCGCATGCTCTAACGTACTGTATATATATATATAGTGACTACGGCTTCGCGTGGACCCCACACGGCACGTACGCCCGCGACCTCGCGCACTTCAAGAACCTCATGGGCTTCACGGCCCACGAGTCCATCATCGCCGCCACCTACGGGGTCGCCAAGCTGATGCTCCGGGGCGACGAGATGGGCCAGATCAAGCCCGGGAACTACGCGGACATGATCCTCGTGGACGGCAACCCCCTGGAGGACATCGACGTGCTGCAAGACCACAGCAAGTTGAACGTCATCATGATCAACGGCCGCGTCCACAAGGCCGGCCGCAAGGAGTACGTCCCTCCCCCCGTTGCGGGCCAGGATTCGAACAAACATCCCATTGTGCCGGACGTGGCTATTCGGGATGGCAAGCCTGAGGTGAAGGCTTCCTAATGGAGTGGAGTGGAGAGGCGCAACGCCCGAAGCCACTGGAATCGCTGGCGCGGCTTACCGGGTACTTATATGAGGGCTTTTGTGTCTGTGTTCGCGTCCAGCAATATAAGACACATATGTTAGTTAGTCCCAAAGGTACCCTAGCAAAATTACTCCGGACGTCGACGGCGAGATGGAGGGCAAATTGTTCTTGGTCAATACATTACGATTATTCATATGGCGGCAACCGGAATGATTTCTCTGAGGCTCTCCTGAATTGACAATTCGACATTCCATCGTTGGCGACCAAACTATGGACTGCAACAACATGACTTGACTGGCCTTGTGCATACAATGCCGTGAGTGTTGATTCCGCCTCTTTCCCCTTGTTACGTTGATTGGTGCGAACTGGATGTCAGTCCCAAAACTTGTATCTAGACTCGCATTGCTGGGGTGGTAGTCGTGGGAGTCTCACGATCTCTGGCGATGGCGTGTCTAGAGGGTCTTGCACTCTCGCTCCTGGGTATACTGTTTTGTTGTGAGATTCTTCACGATTTCATCAAGGCATATTTGCACATCGTAGCGTGTAGGACGGCGGCCCATATGCATTATCGGGTAAATAGGCATTAGCATGTGATATGTACAGTTTCCGTCTCCAGTGTCCATGCGTGCTTTGGCGGCACACAGCATGCAAGGTCATAAGGATCGGGGGTATAAGGTATGGTCTTCCCAACGCCGTGCCTTGCCACAGTATAATCAATCATAAGATTCCCAGATATAATGCAACCAGTGGCTCTACAACCGTCATCCTATAAATTTCTCAATCCTGTCTCGGACAGCGAGCCACCAGCTTGATCGACCGTCGGCCTCATCTCTTTGCTTGATCCCGCGAATCGTCTCGATCGGTCGCTGAGAATTGACTTGCTTTTCGCTGAAGAAGTTGCCATGGAGACCATAAGGCACCCTTTGTGTGAGGTGAACACGGGCGACTATGGTCTTCATGTCCTTGGCGTCTATGATCCAAAGCTCGCTTTTTGCGTCCAACGGGCATTCGCCTGAAGCGTCCAGCTGAGACTCGTCAAAGACGTAGGTCAACAACCAGCCATCATCCTCGCTGGTGCCTTCCTTACGAGGTACAAATCGCGGCTCTTGAGCATACCAGCCCGGTGGCAATTGGAAGATTGAGATCGGATCGCCCAAGTTCGTAGAGTCGAGAACTTCTCTGACGGATCTTGTGTCGACACAACCAGTAATAGGCTCAAGGCCCGTGTTCTTTCGGCCTCGCTTAATCAAGGTCTCTGCATCTATCTTGACCAAGCAGTCGATCTTGACAGCACGACCAAGTGCTGCACCAAAGGTTCCTTCAGAGGTGGAGCAACCAAAGACATATTTCGTCACATCCATTCCTTTATCCTCACGAATGCTTGGGAATTCGAATGGGATAGCACTAAGCGCAAACTGGTGAGCAATGTTGTTCTGTCGCGGCTCAGCCAACGAAAACTGATAGTAGTAGAGGCGACATTGCTCCTCTTCACCACCTGTCTCGAGGGATGTCGGCTGCGGTGCAGCGATATCGCCGGCAGAGAAAACCAAAGACGCAGACGTCAGCCGGCATGCAAGCATGTTGACAGCAGTCGTCTCGACTTCGCCCGTAGCTTTATTGACCACCTGATCATCCCAGGTATTGACTGTATGAAAAATACAGCACGCCTTCGTCTTGAACCAGCGAACCTGCTGCGGCCAATGTCGTGGGAAGATACCAAAGCGGGACTGGGTAGTAGGGTCGTAGCTAACCACAGGTTTAGTCTTTGCCAGGTTCAGGGGGTCCAGTGACAAAGGCAGGTCCATAATCACTGTGTGGTGGAAGGAAACACCAAAATCGTGCATCATCTTAGCAGACGAAACGCCCGGAACAGGGGCGTTCAGCAACCTTGTGGGTCGTTCAAGCGGCGTCGATGGGGTGGCGGGAGGGTGATTAGCCGGTATGATTGAATAATGAACGTATGGTGGCACAAAGGTCGAGTGAAAGAGAATCAACTCTCCTGTCTTGGGGTCAACCCGAGGGTGTGCGGTTGTCCATTCCTTCATGAAACCATAAATGCCCTCCCCACCGAATCCCGGGCCTCCTTCACCACCCATCTCGCCTTCAGCTTTCTTCCCGTTGTACCAGCCAACCGTCTCTAACCCGGGCAGAGCGATCCGCATCGGAGGCCCAGACTCGCAGGTCGCCAGAGCACGCCCATCATGATATAACATGCCCGTGTTGGCCACACTGATTTTCTTGATGGCATGTACTGAGCCTGGCAGTCGCGATAGGATGACGAGACATATGGTGCGGAAAACGAGGAGGATAATATGGTAAAGCGAAGACATTGGATTGACTAAAGTCGCTATGCTGGGAAGGATGGGAGTTCGAAGGCGCTTCGAGGAGAGGGTAAAGAGGTAAAGGTCAGTCAAAATGTACTGATTGACGAACTCTGGCTGCACTCCATCGGCAGTCTGTATAAATGAAACACCACTGAGCATGCCGTCACCGTCGAACCAGTGGGCATCTCGACCCAAATCCTCATTCGACACCGGATTTCCCCCGTTCCGAACGTATTCCCCCCCTGCCAGCTCTTGCGGTATGCTGCCAGAGTAATGGCATGGTGTCAGAGGTTGAACGTTCTTCACAGGAGCAAAGTTACCGCTCAGATATGGATGTGGATGACTTCTTTTGCGCTTCCGACGATCTAAGGTGGACGTGGGTCCACGGAATGAGGACGTCGAGGACGTCGTAGAGGCATCTTGTCCCGACACTGCCGAGGACAGTTTGTGCATGGTCAAAGAATAGGTCGAGGAAGTCGCCGTTGCGTGCCTATACAGGGTGGCTTGTCTTCGTCGAGGTAGCCATGCATGTAAAATTCCAGGTGCGGAGAGGTACCACTCGAAGGTTGTTGCAGGTCGATCTCAGAGCTAGATCATGGAAACTAGCCTGTGCCTGAGGAGGAGGAAGGGCTAGGAGGAACATACATCATCACGCCACAGCAGTTGTACAGACAAAAGAGGAAGCAGCAACTCACATGTCAATGTCTGGTAGAGGTCATAGCTAGGTACCGAAGGGAGATGCTCTGGTCCGGCATGGGCACGTCTCGGAAAAACCAGTTATGAAGTCAGGCGCATGAAGGGACCAACCAGCGTCTGGATCCAAGCTATGCAGTCCCTCTGAAGATCGCGTCCACCAAGGGAGGGGAAGCTGAAGGCGCCAGGCAAGACGGGTAAGGTGAGGTGAGGTGAAAGTGAGAGCAAGGTGAGCGCAGGTGACGTATTTGCACCACGACAGCAATCATGTGGTCATCCATCTGCGACCTACAACAACATACTGCGTACGTAAGTACGGAATACGAGTCCGGAGTACGAGAAAATACTCCGTACCTAAGTAGGCTTCCACTGTGTACGACCATCCAGCAGGTGGATGTACGAGTACTCCGTACACACGGCCATGATGGCTGTTTCTACCTCGTACTGGTCAAAACTGTGGCTGTCCAGTTACCCAGATCCTGACAGATCCAGCCTCCCAAGATCCGATCGTGGCTTGACCTCGATTTGTTCCGAAAGCCGTGAACTCCACAAACCTGGTATCTACGCGTCATGATGTGCCCGAAACTTCATGGCGCACAGCAGCAATTCTGTCGAGATGTCCACGGATTGGTGCTCAAAGTCTCCCGGTATCTGCCTGCTGCCTTCCGACACTCATAGAAGTTTCTGCGTTGCTTCACGCGTGGAGTTGACCACTGCTGCCGGCTATTTGTGTATGATGGCTCCTGCCGTTGCCGTAAGCTTTCTCTGATACAGGCACCTTTGGGAGCTTCACACGCGCCGGAAACGCTGCAAGTGCCTATCGGAAGTCCGCCCTGATGTACGACTATGCGATTGTGTATGTGAATTTCTAGCTCTGCTCATGCAAATGAACTGACATGTGATCTCTGTGGCAGTCATCTCGTCTACACGGTCCCCCTTGCGACAGCCTTGTCTATCATATTGGGACCTCTGTTGACCCGCCGTGATATCTACAAAATATGCTTCTTGCAAATCGTCGCGGTGTCATACACGATCCCTTGGTAAGGGTCAAGTCGGTGACACTGATCGCGCTCCTGCTGACCAGTCCAGGGACTCTTACCTTATCCGGAACCGCATCTGGAGTATGTCGATGTCTCCCTGCATCGATACTTGGATCTCAGGCTTGCTAACTACCCGAAGCATATCCACAGGATGTCATAATAGGACCAACACTACTCGATATTCCTGCTGAAGAGGTCTTCTTCTTCCATGTTCAGACATATATTGTGGGTAATCTTTATTTGCATGACTACGTGCGAGGCTGCTAATTCTTCGTCAGACTACATGTCTTCAAATTCTCCTCAATAAGTCGGTTCTTGTCGCCACTTACCTGCATAATGAAGCAGATCCCAGAGATCCCGTTGGCAGGTCATTACTCCTGGGGAAACGAGCAGGTCAGCTTGTCCTTACCCTCTTGGCGCTTGGACCAATCCTCTTGCGTGACGGGCCCAAGGAAGGGCAATACCTCCGACTCATCTTGGCCTGGGCCTGTCCGGTGATGTACATGCTTTGGACCTTTGGCTATCAGCTACTCCTCACCCTGCCGTGGACAAAAACATGGTTACCTATCGCTGCTCCAACATTGTACCTGTGGATCGTCGACACGCTTGCGCTCCGGAGAGGTACGTGGAGTATCGAATTGGGGACTAAGCTCGGAATCCACGTCTGGCCTCATCTGGAGATCGAAGAGGCAGTCTTCTTCCTGTTGACCAACACTCTCATAGTGTGGGGATCAACCGCTTTCGACAATGCTATGGCTATCCTCGACGCCTTTCCCGAGCATTTCGCTGTCGTTCCCGGGACCCCATCGCCTATATTGATGTTCAAAGCACTGTTCTTGCCCACTTCGAAATATGACACGGCCCGTCTGGAAGGCTTACAGAATGCGCTTACGGTGCTTGCGAAGAAGAGCCGGTCCTTCTACTTGGCTTCAGGCGTGTTTGCAGGTCGCTTACGGATCGACTTGATCTTGCTCTACGCATTCTGCAGGGTGGCCGATGATCTGATTGATGATGCGCCGTCTGTGGAAGAGGCAGACAAATGGGTGCAACACTTTACTTGTTTTCTTGATGCGGCATACTCGTCGAAACGCGATCCTGGTCGCTTACGGGCATCTCTAGAGCCTTTCCCTTCAAAGGCTCAATCCATCCTAGTACTGCTGCCAACCGATAAACTACCGCCAGGACCGCTGTACTCACTGCTCGACGGCTTCCGAATGGACATGAAGTTTTTCAGCAAAGGATCCAAGGATCAACCACCAATTCAGAGCTTTGCGGACCTTGAACGGTACGCCAGCTGTGTAGCCGGAACCATTGGAGAACTATGCCTGAATCTGGTCTACTATCACGATCCTGATGGAGGCATTCAGGATGAGATGAAACACAAATGCCTCGCCGCCGGCTTTCAGATGGGCCAAGCACTCCAATATGTCAACATTGTTCGAGATGTGAAAAGTGATGCCGTTGTTGGTCGATGCTACATTCCCCATGAATGGTTTGACAAATCCGCTGAAACTTCCCCCAAAGCGCAAGCTGCTGAAATCTTGGGATTCCGACGTCAAATTCTGGACACTGCATTCAAGATATATGCGGAGAACAGGGATGCGATTGAATGTTTGCCCTACTATGCTCGCGGCGGTATCCGTGTTGCGGTCGAGAGCTATATGGAGATCGGCCGGGTGATGCGCGAGCGAATGCGACGAGGTCAACCTCTGGATTTTGCGGGTAGCGGTAAGAAGGGTCGAGCTAGCGTTCCTAAGTCAAGGAGGATACGGGTTGGCTGGTGGACAATGATGGGTTGGAGAGGCGCAGCATGATAGAGAGCATTGTCCCTTTGGCGTATTTACCATATTAATGAATGAAGTCCATAGACCGCCCTCATCAGCTTCCGAATATTCGAGGTGTACCCCTGTTAAAGGCAGACTGCTGGTGGTTGGTGGTGTGCCTCCTGAGCCTGGAGCTGGATGAGGGGCGCCCCTAGCAGACGCCAAGGGCGTGCAAAGGGGCGCACGAGGGAAGCCGGAGGTGCGTGCGGGGCTTGATGCATCATCACCTCATGCCCTTGGTGCCTTGCACATGCGACAGCGGCAGACCTGACCAGATCTTGAACTCTCATAACTGGTACCTTCCTACAACTGCACTGCAGACTTCACGGCGTTAGCCGGGGCAGTGAAATTCAGTATATGTCTTGTCGACGTCGTGTGCGCTCTTGCTAGATGCCATGCTCAGTCCTAATCATCCTCCGAATGCGTCCGGAAATGGCGGCGTGCCAATGCGTTGGTGGGAAAAGTCATGTTGTCATTGACTTTACACCTACATGCACATAATATACGCCATGTGATTCTGTCGGATTTGCACCCGGGATCGGGCTCTTGATTCTCGTGCAATCCGAGTGCAGCGACTGAAAGGATGGACAAACCAAAGAGTGCCATCATCGTAGGTGAGAACGCGCGGTCCGGGCCTCTGTGTCTGTGGCCGAGACTGACTGCAAGTTTCCAGGTGCCGGTGCTGGTGGCATTGCCAGTGCAGCAAGGCTCGCCAAAGCCGGGTTTACGGTCACCGTGATCGAGAAGAACGACCACACTGGCGGACGATGCAGTCTGATCCATGACAATGGCTACCGTTTCGATCAAGGCCCCTCCCTCCTTCTCTTACCCGATCTCTTTCGAGAGGTCTTCACCGACCTCGACACCTCACTTGAGGCTGAAGGAGTGGAGCTGCTCAAATGTGAGCCCAATTACAATATCTGGTTTGGCGACGGCGAGTGCATTGAGCTGTCGACAGACGTGACCAGAATGAAGAAGACAATCGAGAAGTGGGAGGGCAAGGAGGGCTTCGAGAGATATCTGGCTTGGATGCGGGAAGCGCATGTCCACTATGAGGCCAGTGTCGTGCATGTGTTGAGAAAGAATTTCGGCACAATTTGGGCCATGGCACGTCCCAGCTTCCTGCCATATCTCATGGCACTGCATCCCTTTGAGAGCATATGGGCTCGGGCCTCCCGGTATTTCTTGACGGAACGGCTCAGGCGGGCATTCACATTCGGGAGCATGTACATGGGCATGAGCCCGTTCGAAGCCCCTGGAACGTACAGCTTGCTTCAGTACACAGAATTAGCTGAAGGCATATGGTCAGTCTTGCAGGAGCCCCAACATGCTTTGTTAGCCACTGACTCGTACTCAGGTATCCGCGAGGCGGGTTTCACAAAGTCCTGGATGCCCTAGTCACAATCGGCGAACGTCTCGATGTCGAGTATAGGCTCTCGACACCTGTTGCCCAAGTCAACATCGACAGATATTCGCGGCGCGCTACCGGTGTTACCCTGGCGTCAGGGGAGGTTCTGGATGCTGACATTGTGCTTGTCAATGCCGACCTCGTCTATGCTTACAACAAACTCCTGCCTCCCTCGGACCGAGCTACCTCATTGTCGAAGAAACCCGCTTCCTGTTCTAGCATCTCATTTTACTGTAAGTCAAACGAATCATACCCGTCTAGACGGGTAATGCTGATATTGCGAAGGGTCCATGGACAAAGTGATTCCTGAGCTCCATACACACAATGTCTTCCTGGCAGACGACTATCAGCACAGCTTCGACGACATCTTCAAACGTCAGCAAATACCCCAAGAGCCCTCCTTCTATGTCAATGTGCCATCAAGGGTCGACCCAACTGCGGCCCCAGAGGGCCGCGACAGTGTAGTGGTCCTCGTCCCGTGCGGTCACCTACTGGAAGGCGAGGTCGATCGGGGCCTCAACCCGCAGAACGCCCAAGATTGGCAAGCGATGGTTGCCAAAGCTCGACATGCCGTGTTTGAAACCATCCGGCTGCGGACAGGTGCTGATCTACAATCACATGTGGCGCATGAGATTGTCAATACACCAGGCTCGTGGAAAGAAAGGTTCAATCTTGACAGAGGCGCCATCTTGGGCTTAAGCCACTCCTTCTTCAACGTGCTCAGCTTTAGGCCCAAGACGAAGCACCCGGATCTTGGGAGCCTATACTTCGTCGGAGCAAGTACTCACCCCGGCACAGGCGTACCCATTGTCTTGTGTGGTAGCAAAATCACGACCGAGCAGATTTTGGACGACTTGGGTATGGCCAAGCCTTGGTATCCCGGCGGACACAAACGGAGGATAGTCAGTGACTTGGACAAGGAGGGCTGGCACCCCCTCGATCTCGGCCATACGCTTGTCGCGATCTTCATTGCACTGTGCCTGGTGCTCTACATGTTTGCATTCACATAACGCAGTCCAGCATGGGAAGATAGACGGAATCGGAGCGTTATCGGGGGTTTTCGGTTTGCCTAGAATGCTCTCTAGAGTTGGGATCGTTGACCAACCGCTGCCTTTTCCTCATACTGCAAAAATTATCTTCGATCGTTCCGCCGAGTCTCGGCCAGCGGCACGTCATATCAACAAAGAAGGGGCCCACCTACCTCGTATGGAGTATCACAGTAGAGGCCTACCGAAGTAGGTGGAAGCTGACGCTGGCCCCGGCCGGAGAAATTACGAAAGGCCCGCATACCGTTCTCCGTACCCGGTACTCTGTACAAGCTACAGCATTCGACTAACCATTTAGTCAGCAGCATTGTGACCTCCCCTGTGGCGACATCAAGCATCGTCGATCACCAGGAAATGCCCGGATCGGCGGTCAAATCATGTTACTTCCGTGACTTCCTAACGTTTTGGCGGTAGAGCCTTGCTACTCGTTTCCCAGCGTCTCCGAGGGGAGTAACTTGTGACTAAACCCCGCAAGCTTACGGCACCGACCATCTGGTCTTGGGTGGTGAGAGGCCTTGCTTCCGCTGACATCGCGCCCTTCCGCCAATACCGGGCTGGCGTGAAGCCAGCTGCCTCGCAGTATCTCCCGGTTTGCCACAGGAAAGGAAGTGCGATGTCCTGAACAAGACAGGTCGCAGCTGCTCAGAGGGAGATGGCTTGCGGCAAATCAGCCTGCAGCCCGTTGACTTTTGGAAACGTCAAATCCGACCACATCCGGGCGCCGAATGGTTCGATTCCTCGTCGACAGACTATTGCAGAGTCTCGACAAATCTCAGACCACCACGATTGCTGATCACAGCATGCGGAGTGGCCACCTACAGAGCACATTTCGAAGCTCTGCACGCTAGGGAACTCTCTCCATTGCGTCAACCAGTTACCATCCTGTTTCATATTTCGGGTGCTAATGTTCGGTATAGCTTGTGCATTGGTGGCTTTTCCCATCACCCTTTCGGGACACGAAAACAAAAAAGCGATGCCCTAGCTTCCAGAGCCTCGCAGCTGGATGAGGCAGATGACCCGTCCTGGGACGGAAAAGCGTCTACAACGTTCATGCTTACTTTTCCGCAGAAAGATTACCCAAGGCCTTCTGTGCCAGGCTCGGGTGGGACGGCAGCACTCCCTTGGAGGTGATGGTAAAGCTCGAAGGCGAGATCCTTCCAGCACATGCCTCGTTATCGAGCAACATGTCGAGTGTCTCGTGTTGGGTTCGACGCTGGCAGCAGACGACGTCACGGTGCGGCTTGCCGCCTCCGTCCGCATCAGACCGTGTCAGAAGGTCGATATATTAAGCCGCCCTGAAGCGCACGCTCCTTCTCGACTCATCAGCGCATCACGACCAAGGAGGCCTGCGATCCCATTCAGCGGCAGCTCAATTAGCCTACTCACCTGATACCCTCGCACCGAAGATCTTCACGACCCTCAATTCACCATGGGCAACGACGTCTTCCGCCACAATGGCTTCACCAACACGGTGACAACCAACAACCACATTACCGCCCCCGGTAGCGATTGGTACTGGACAGTTTGTGCGGTTATGACCGTGTCTGCCTTTGGATTCATGATCCATTCGTACTTCAAGCCCCGCAGCCAGCGCCTGTTTCACTACCTGAATGCCACCATCTGCCTCATTGCGGCTATTGCGTACTTCTGCATGGGCTCCAACCTGGGCTGGACCGCTATCGAGGTCGAGTGGGTGCGCAGCTCTCCTGAGGTTCGCGGCAACATGCGCCAGATCTTCTACGTCCGATACATCAACTGGTTCATCACCACTCCTCTGATCGTAGTCCAATTGCTCTTGGTGGCTGGCTTGCCCACTCCCACCATTCTGTACACCCTCTTGATGACCGAGATCGTTGTTATCAATGGACTTGTTGGCGCCCTCGTGAAGAGCTCCTACAAGTGGGGTAAGTGTTCCACCATTCTCCTTATGACTGTTGCGCATAACGTTGACCGCGAAATGCAGGTTTCTTTACCTTTGGCGCTGTGGCCTTTTTCTTCGTCGCCTTCGCCATTGTCTGGGATGGCCGCGCCTATGCCCGTGTCCTCGGCGCCGATGTCATGCGCATCTTCAACATCCTCGCTGCCTGGATCATCCTGCTCTGGACTGTCTACCCCGTCATCTGGGGCGTCTCGGAGGGCGGTAACATCATTCCCCCTGACTCCGAGGCTGTCTCGTACGGTGTCTTGGACCTCCTTACCAAGCGTAAGTCTCCAATTCTCCAGATGATCTGGTGGATCCTGCGACTGACTGTTCTCAATAGCCGTCTTCGGTGCCGTCCTCATCTGGGGTCTGCGCAACGTCGACCTTGAGCGCCTTGGCATCCACGTCAATGATGCCAACCCACGCGTCCCAAGAGCTGCCCCTGCTCCTAAAACCGAAAAGGATGCCGAGGCCGCCGCGGCGGCCAACAATGGTGTCACCGCGCCGGCTGCCGCTACCACTCCCGAGACTGCTGTCTAAGCAGCTCGCCGGCGTCTGTCTCGCCCAGGATCATCTGCTTGCGTCGTTAATCTGGCCATCCAAGCAGATGTATGCTGAGGTGATCGAGAGCACCGGACTCACCGCACCCCAGGGGTCCAAGCCTGGCCTTGCATAATACCCTCTCCTCCAGCACCAACCACAAAACTCAGGAATAAGCGACAGGTCACTCGTTCATGATGACGGAGCGAAGGAGTCAGAGATGACGGAATTCACTAATACTTGGCAGTTACTGCTTCGAAGGCCGGCTAATTTGTCAGTCATGTCGCGACGATACCCAAGACACCATGTGCCAGCATTATTGCTCGAAGAGAGTACGTAGTTACTCGACTAATACTTACCCCATTGTTCAGATAATTAAATGTCATAATTGCCATTGGTTGATCAGTGGTTCACATGCCCGCCCTTCTCTGATGACTGACCTCACATAAAGCGGAGGTCTGACATGGCAGCGCCCAGAAGTGACTTCGGAATACTGTGTAGCTTACTATGGTAGGAGTACCGCAGGATTCTGATCGTGCCACGCCCTACCAGTGTCGATCGGCTTACCTTCCGCTTTCCCGTACTACCTCGTACTGTGTAACAGCCACTTCTTCTTGGTTCTTCTAGGTTCTTTGCATTTCCCAGTCTCCTCCGTCGCGGTGGAAAAGATGACAAGGAGGTACGGAGTACGGAGTAGAGGTCACAAGACTCTATCTACACGAGGCAAACTTACCCCGTGTCGCTCCCAGCCACCGGGAAATCTCCAGCGTGCAAGAGATACACATTTTCGGGGTGGCTTGAACCCGCCTGTCACCAAAGTCGACAAACTGACTTTGCGCCTGGCCTGATTCGACCCTAGCAGGAAGTATTTCTCGGAGGTTTTCCTGGCAGCTGCAGTAGCGCCGGCTACGGGGTCATAATTAGTCTTTCCATCGTAGCAAAAGACAGCGTCCTGCAATTGAAAAAGGAGACCTACTGGGCAACTGAGTACCCGGCCCATACCGCGCGCATCACTGGTGAACAAGCAAATGTCCCTCAAAATGTGATGATCGCCGATCTGCATGGGTTGCGGTCTCTGCACTTTCTCCTGCAAGTGTCCGGATCAAGCACGCGAAATGAAAAAACAAAACAGTCGAAGGAGCAAAGAGGACGGGGACCACGGTGATGCGGCATGCACATCTCGCTTTTGTTCGATAGTCCCCCCGCACCGCTTCTCATCCTAAGCGAGCAGAGTGCCAACGCCTTTTTCAGCAACTCCATCGGACCTGTTCGGAGCCATCAGTGCCCACTGTCTACAAAGTACTACGAGTAAGTGTATGGGGTACGTGCGACATCTACGAATCAGATGGCTTACTATGTGGGAAAGTGATTGTGCGGAGTGACCAGTGAGAAACAACAGTAATTTGGGTCGATCATTGTCTACGAGGACCACACCACGGAGTATGCGCGACATACTGGAGAAGAGACGGTGAGATCGGCGAATGAGAGCCTCATTTGAGACAACAAGTCTGCATTCTGGGCAGGATGTCGGTAGGGACTCGGCTCAAGGTGGAAGAAGGCAGCGAGCTAATTCCAATTACCCAGTACTCCGTACAGTCCTGTGTACGGAGTGCTTGTGCTCGGGTACTTGGTAGTTGATCATAGCTGGCCCCGAGGAAGCAGCGCTGCTGCACCGTCGCCAATGGACTGTCGCACAGACCATAGCAACGGTAGCCCCCTTTATCTCTAACCTCGACATAGTAAGGAGTGCTTGCTCACAATCTTCATGGTCCCTGTTTGCTATCAGCCCTATTGTGGCCTTGACCAGGACAGCTTTCCGCTGTGTACACCAGTACTGGGCAAGCGGGGTCAGCGAGTTTGCTCCCCGCCTGAGAACACCGCTTCGGCCTGGGCCTGACTGCTGCAACGGAGAACATCGATTCGACCAAACTGCGGTCCCGCGCAGGCCACAAATCTCGAAACACTCTTCCCGCAGCCAACCAGAATTAGGTCGCCGGCGGTCGCGCGGTCAGGTGCAGGCGACGTCGTGTAATGCGCGGCGACGACAGGCCATAACAGCATCCGGCGAAGGTGCGCGCAACACCAGTGGTAGATCAAACACATCCAACGCACATTGGTCGGCGGCGGGTGAAATTGGACAGAGTGATACCGGCGGCTAGAAGAGGTTAGGGCCAGCTTGATGGTAGAGAACAAATCCAAAGGCGACTCCAAGCCTGATCCGAGAGTGAGAGCCCCGATCAGCCAGTGGGACGCGTGCTGGGCAATCAATTCTCCGCGTCGACATCAGGGGCTGAAAGTGGTTTGCTTCGCGGCGACGATCTTGGACGAATGGGCGCGGCGCGCACTTTTTAGATTCTGAAGTCGCTGCTCTTAATCTTTTAACGCAGTTGTGACGCGGGATTTCTAGCAGATGAGGTTTCCAATGAGTTTCGCGCGGTGCCTGGCTAATCTGGTTAGCGGCCGGACTAAACCGATCTAATATGGGTCCGGTGCACCCTGAGTGGGCTGTCGGGAAATTTGGCATGACGGGCATTGGCTGGCGGCTCAGAGTGCCCCCGCAACAGGCCGTGGGGGGGCCACTCACAGGCGCTGTTTCAGACTCGCACCAAACTCTGCCCTCTGCCCATCAACGAACCTCAATCCAACCCAAATCTGCCAGACAACCAGTCGATGCGTGTCAAGTCGCGCTGTCGACACCGGCGTCTGCTTTAACCTGCACGCAATCTAGCGGGCCCTCGGCCATGATGCCGCTAAGGGCCCTGCCTCCAGATATGCTCGCCGGCCGCCACATATACTCTTGTCCTTCCCTGACCCCGGGCCTTCTGAATCCTTCCTCACCCACACGCAAAGCACCAGGATAGCATATCGCTGTCGTCCGAGTCACTGAGCTCCCTCTCAGTTCCTGTCGCATTCGTTCTCTTCAACCCCGAGCAGCGCTCACTCAGCTCGCCTTGCGCGACGCCCGCAATATCATCATCCACGACAGATACTTCGACGAATCAGATCTCGTCCAACGCTCACTTCAATCTACGCAACAGGCCATCTAGAGTCAGCCCGACTCACGCAAAGAGGAGTTGATCGTGAAAGCGTTCGATGCAGTAGCCTTTTGCCTTCGACAGCCTTGTGCCCTGCTTCAGATCTAGCCCAACGATACAACTTCACTCAGCCAAGATGCGCATTCACTCAGCATTCGGAGCGCTACTGCTCTTCCTCACATCATTGGCTCTTGCCACTCTGCCTCCTGGGGACTGGTCGGGGGAGACCACCATCACTGTCACTGCTTCCATGTCGACCACTCACACCGTCACGAAATATCTGACGTACGCAAACGCCACTACGACTTCCAGTAGTTCCTCCGTCACCCCGACAGGCTGGAACGTGACCTCGAGCTACCTCACGGGAGCAAGCACAGTTCACAGCCCAGCCCTGACCGCTTCCGTTTCAGCGACATCCAGCGTCTTCCCGCCTATTGCCTCGGCCACTGGCGCAGCCAGCTCGCTAGAGATGAACCTCGCCGTGGCCGGTCTCGCTGGCGCTGCGGCCTTGTTCTGGGGCTCATTATAACCCCCAGCGTCCGACCCTTGGTCGATGTACCCAGCAGCCGTTGGGTAGCCAATCGACACATTTCATTTCCTTGTCTTGACTGAGTCAACGTTCCTTATCACAAGCACTAGTTGCTGGTTTTATCTCCGTTTGATCTACGAACATTCGTCTCTGGGAGAGGTTGGAGAACACACCGAGGAGGAGCAAATCTGGGCACAATGACTGTTACCGCAGCCGGTACTTTCATGGTCCACCCGCTGGTTGGAGGGCGACATCAATCCACGCCTGGGGCGCCGATGGACAGGGGCGGCCAGTCGCTCCATGCATATCCCCGTGAGCGCTCTGGATATGGGGGAGGGACAGGCGTAGGCTTGCGGATCCGACTGCTGGGACGTGTGAAGGGTCATGTGGTTGGGGAAGGGGCATGGCTGGGCAATCACGACCGACATGATGAACTGCTTCGTCCATATACCCTGGAAGCATGGAAACCGAGTCCTCAGTCTCTGTTCGCACCGCCAATGTACATTTAGCTAGTTGAGCCGAGTCTTGTAATTGAATCAAGAAACATGATGAAACATGGGCGTGTCTCCCTGCGTCGTGCCCTGGATCTGGTGAATGAGGTGGCATACGGTGCGGACCCTCAGCCGTCGTCAGCGTGGAGAGTTGCTCGATGCCATCCGGTGAACAGCAGTAGATCCACAATGTACTTCGTAGTAACCACTCAGTTGTCCGTCCTCCGTACTCGTCCTGCCAGCTGTCGCCTCCTGTTCGGAAAGGGATCTCCGTTCCGGGGACTGCTCCTCGGTCTTTCACAATGGTAACACAAGGTATTTTTGACCCAACCACATTTTTTGGATCAATAAATCAAGTCTGATCCATCAATGCCAATGTCATTGATTTCCTGCAGTGTGGTGGTCACGGGCCTCGATGATGGCTGCGGCTTGGGAGCTCGTAGGGCTGAATCCTCACCCCCCACCACCCTCTCGGCGCGTCATCAGTCATCAATCATCACATCCACCCGACACGCGATGTCCTTCCGAATTGGAGACGCGTTGTGAACTATCTCAACGGCTCTCTGCACTTTATCTCGGCCCTGTGCTACTCGGACGCTGCCACTTGTCGCTCGTTTGGGAAGCAGATATTACTGACCTACTGTCATACTACTGACCTACTGGCTCGACTGACATACTTACGCCCGCATCCTACTGTAAACTCCCCAACATGGACGAACCTGAGCTTCCTCCGGTCTCAACGGCGGCGCAGGCAGGAAGCCGAACACACGCCCGCCCGTCCTTACTGCTGACTCGGAAGAGGACGCGTTCTGACTATGCCGACGAGCCTGCTACTTCCAGCGACCCCGCGACGTTTTCCAGCGACGAAACCGCGCCCGGTGCCGAGAACTATGCCGCCGGCAGGAGGAAGAAGAAGCACACGTTCCGAGGCTCGTGGTGGGACCTCCACCCCGCTAAGAGCGGTACGAGGACGAGCCAGAGGAGGAAACGCGAGTTCAGAAGGAATTTCGACTCGGGAATATTCATGGGCAGTGAGAGCGAAGATCCTCTGTCAAGCGATTCCTTCACCATGGAAGACGAGTTCTTGAGGGACCAAGAAAGGTCCAGTGAGGAGAAGCACGATTCTCAGCACCCAAGATTGTGGCCGAGCGAGAGCCTGGAAGCCACGCCCAGAACGAAACTGGCTCTGCGCAATTCCGTGCAGATGCCAAAGGAGCATGAAGCCGTGTGCCACGTCGTCCGACAGTGTCTCGAGCTGGGCAAGGAAGATGTGGATTTGTCGTAAGTACCTAGTCCGGTCCAGCCTCTGCAGAACTCTCGTCTGATGCTTCTAGGGTCATGTCTCTGTCAAGTCTGCCGTCGGAGGTCAGCACGCTGAACACACTCAGCAAGCAAGAGGAGATCGCGCCGGGCATGCTTCATATCGGCACCGATCTCGAACCCCGGCTCCGTTTGTTCCTGGGCAACAACCTGTTTACAAAACTTCCCAGTGTAGTTCTCGATCTTCGAAACCTCCGCTTTTTGTCCCTTCGGAACAACAATCTCAGTTCTATCCCCCCCAGCATCAGAGATCTGGTCAACCTGGAATCCTTGAACATTGCAGGAAACCAGTTGACCGAGCTTCCTTCCGAGGTTCTGGATCTCATCAGCCAGTCCCGCTTGCAAGAGTTAATACTGCAGCCGAACCCATGGAAGCAGCTCTCGAGGTTGCCCCTCAAACGCATCCACCCGGACTCAATCCCTCGCATGGAAAATGGGAATCTGCGGCTCTGGAGGGCCATAGCGGCCCCCAATTACTTCGAGGACGAACTCCCGGGACGACTGGCGCAGAATTCTCCTGTCCCGTCGTTGACCGAACTTGTTCTTCGACAATTGTCCAAGATCGATCGTAGAGGAGAAACGGATTACACCGACTACATGCCACACGGTAGTCCTCAGACAGTGCTCGACAATCTCAGCTTCCTCAAAGAGCATCCCGATCGACGATGTGGCTCGTGCAAACGACAGATCGTCCTGGCAGCCAAGGAAGAGATCCAATGGTGGTATGTAAGCTGTGACCCATCGAGTGAAGCGACGGCCGGGGAAGTCCTGTCGCCTCCTGGAGCCATCCCATTCCGACATCTCCTTTGCTACGATGGATGTCCAAGATTAGTACCAAGGACGGAGTAGTTAGTTCGGAACTTTGCAGAGGCGTGAATCTATGGGATATCGGCTGGCACGGAGTATTTCTGTATGTAATACTTCCAGACAAGAGAGCCTCACAAACGGGCACTTCAGGCTACGTAACGTGAGATGTAGTCCTTGGACGATGCATGAGCTCGAAAACTACCAACAGCGAGATGTTCCTTATGTGAGACTGACCAGAATTGAAGCGAACGAGCCATGAGCCATGAGCCATGAGTTATGCTCCCGCACTATTACCCACCGCGTCTACTGTATATGCATGTCTATATGTACTCCGTACATCCCCAGGTTTGTCCCAGCACGGTGATGTATTCCCCAGAAGTTTGTCGTAGAATGTGGTGTCTAAGGTACATCCGAACTCTACCTCACCTCTCCCTTCCGTTAACCGATGGGATAACGCTGACGTACTGTAATCTGGCGGGTACAGTTTACCTTACCGAGTACCGTACCGGACGAGGACGTGAGCGACGGTGGGATTTAGCGTTATTCTTAGACAGATTGACCTGGATTGACCTGGATTGACCTGTTATATGGAGTGAGGAAACTAGATGAAGGGATCTATATATCTTTATAATGGCATTATGATGTAGTACAGTACAGTGCTGCGCTGGATGCGATATGATACGATACCAGGGGATATGGGACTGCGATATCTCCTTCCCACACGACTTGAACTGTACTGTCTACCTACCGTACTTAGGGCTCAAAGTGGTGAATACTCCATACACGGCCTGGGCAGGTCAGGTCCAGAGTAAGTACGTACATAAACTACCCAGGTGCAGTAGTCGGTTGGTCGATCGTGGCTTGGCTTGTCAACTACATGCGCACAGCACTTAACATACGGTACAGGCGAGAACTACGTACAGTAGGTACTTTGTACTTTGTACTTACATGACATTGGTCTTACTCATCTTTATCCTTATACTTATCTTTTCGAGAAGCAAGGCAATGCAGGGCACGTGAACCGGCGAACCTTCGATTTCATGGAAGAGAGAACAGAACAAAGAGACAAACATAGATCATCTCCCCCTGCTAGTCTATTCTAGTCTCCTGAGCCGCACATCTTTGGCTTTGCCGCCTGCGGTCGTGGTTGACGGCTCACTTTTGTCCATCGCCGTGCCCGTAAGCTTGACCCCGGAAGGGATGTGCATCGCCATAGGCATGGTCGACCATCTTCGAGTGGGCCACGATTCGTCTCTCAATCTCGGCTTGCCAGTTCTCCGTTGTGCAGCGCTTGCGCTCCTCCTCATGCTGGGGGTGGTCGCCGGGGTTGACGCTGAGACATTCTCGGGATTTGGGATCGTCGAAGTAGATCTCCTCGATGCGGGTGTCGAAGTCGGTGATTCTTTGGTCGTTTGGGACTCGGAGGTCACCGGATAATGGGGACGGGGGCGATTTCGGGGACTTGACGAGGGCGGCCTTGACCTTTTTGATTGGTGATAGAGAGTGGTGATAACGGTGTTGGTGTCGGTCTTGGCCCTCAGGCGGCATGGTGGCTAATTTGAAGTCGTAAAGCTGACTTGACCTCTATGGTTCTTTCGTTGCTGATGGCACGGACTCTTGTCCTGCGTCTCGAGGCTGGATGTTCTCGAGGATCGAGGACTTTTGAGACCCTCCACCCGGCGGGCAGTGGCTGGAGCTTCAACCAAAGTGGAGGATCGCTCAGAGGAAAAGCCTGGAAGGCAAGAAGGACGATATTGTCGCGACGACAACCTCAATTGGATGGGTGGTAACGTGTGATGAATCTGTGAGGCGGCAATGGACGTTGACGTGAGCCTAGTAAGAAGTGTGTTGCTGATATCTTCCGGCAAAGGTTGTTAATTGAGTTCTTGTTCTTGCAAGCTGCAGCGCGGTCGGGAATCACCCAGCTGGCCTGGCACATTTGTGTTGATACAGCCCCTCGTTCTCTCTCCATCAATGGACTCGAGTCCGACGGTCGACCGTCGGTATAAATAAGGCCTGGCAGTGTTGTCACAGGTTATGATGTCGTGGAACATGTCACAAGCATACAAAGCAGGCAGGATGGAAAGAAAAGGGAGCAGACACCACACCAACCAAGTGCATAGGGAGCAGGAAGGTTCAAGAGTTAAGTCAGTATCAAGCCGTGTTCTGTTCGCCGTCGCGTCCCATTTCCGTCTAAGGGGGTATCTCGAGTCGTTAGGTCATCACGCCCGACAAAGGAGCCGTCCCAGCTCCGACCGCGGGTCGAAAAGTCAGCGTTCGAAGAAACCACCGTCGCTCATGTCCTCGTCCTGGTCGCTGTCCAGATCGGCAGGATCAATGACACCATCATCGTCAAGCCATTCTGGCTTTGCCTCGGTCAGATCGCGTCCACTGGTACTGCGCATTTGAGCATCTTCCTTCCCACCGAGTGTAGCTAGGCTGGTCTTGAGCTGTTTGCGGGTAGTCAGCTTGCCCTCACGTAATAATCCCAGCTGTGCCTCTCCTTGTTCCATGAGCTCCTCGATTTGATACCACATGGGCGGCTTATCGCCCGAAGCACTGCGGACCACGTTGGCCGCGTGGTCGTACTGACTGCGAAGCTCCTTCTGCTGCTCCTCATCCAGGACGGCAAAGTCGAGCCTGTTCATTTGGAACTTCCCTCTCCTCTTCTTGTCTTTGTTGTCGGTGTGGTCGTTCGGAAACAGGCTAATGTACTTGTCACCCAAAGGAGCATACTTGGCGTAGTTGAGATCCACCTCTGTGACGTGTATCAGCTTTTCGAGCTCCTTCCGTGCATTTTCATCATTGCAAGAATCTCTCTGCTTGACCAGTTTTTTGAGATTTCGCTCCGATTTCTGTCGCTCTACGAAACGGATAAAGTGATACCGCTGAAGATTCTTTCTGGCCTCCTGTTTGAGTTTGTTCTGTTCCTGCTCGAACAGCAGGGCGGCAAGCTCACGCTCCTTCTCCTGACGGATTGTGCCAGGGAGCTCTTGTTTTTGCAACTGATTCTTCAGCGAATGGATTCTCGTGGAGGGGTTGGTGGCTCGTTCATGCTTGGTTTTTGTGACTGCAGACCGGACGGGTGGCAGGCTGTGCGCGTCCTCTCGTTGGGATTCTCTACGCCGCTCGCGTCCTCCGTCGTCTCCGGGTCGGTATGATTCGTAGTGCCGAGGATGATCAGGTCGAGATCCGTTATCGCGCGGAGCCCATTTCGGACGGTATTGATCGGTCCCATTGGGCTTCGGCCGGTACGAATTCGAGGCAGGGTGGGTAGACGATCGGTGTGGAGGGCCACGCTGTTTTGCCATTCTGCAGAGAAGCGAGCGTGGAGAGAGAGAAGAGGCAAGGATAAGTCGAGCTTGGCTTGAATGAAATCCAAGTCGAGCCTCGTCAAAATTCCCCAGATTTTCTGATTCTGCCGCTCGTCACCGCCTGCGCCAAGTGGGGCAAACGCTAATCCTTTCTGGGACATGTTCACCTTCACCTCACGCCCGCCTCAATTTGGTGTTCCGCGGAGTGACAAGATGGAAACTGCCATCCGCTTCTCCCAGAACTCCTTGCCTGGGAGCGATCAACGCTTCTTGTATGTGGATGTCGTGGGCAAGTCTTTCCGCTTGTGCAACATCACGGGCCAGGCGAAGGACGGCGTGCAGTATGACACTGTCCACACCACGACCAAGGTTCCGGCATTTCGAGCATTCGACTGGCACCCATCCAATGAAGACCTGGTGGTAGTGGGACAAGCTGGGGGAGAGGCCACCTTGCTGAATATTGCCGAAGGCTATCAAGACTCTCTGTCGTTTCAGGTCAGAAGCCAGCGCTCCTGCAATGCGGTCGCCCTCAACACCCAGAACCTGCTGGCTGCGGGCCTCGATAAAGTCCGCACGGACTTTTGTCTGAATATATGGGACTTCAACCAGCGCATGCCTGCACCAGGGTCCAAGGGCTTCTCCAAGAACTATTCCGACCCCTTGCACAAGCTGGCCAGTGGAGAACCGATTACAAGCCTCAAGTTCTTCCAAGATGACCCTTCTCTCCTAGTTGCGGGAGTCAAAGGTCAGTTTGTTAGGCTATACGACCTGAGGGAGCCTTCGGTCGGAAATGGGCTCCAATTCGCCACAAGATGCGTCTACAACTTGGCCATCGACTGGCTCGACGAGAATTACTTTGCTTCATGCTATCCCACCAGCGACCCTTCTATCTGCGTCTGGGATCGCAGAATGATCAGCCGAGTCAACACGCCGCACATGGGCTTCCAGCATAACGAGAACCGTCCGCCAGAGGTGTCGCTTGAGCTGAAAAATGCTATCCAGAGCCCCGGAACCATCTGGAGCTTGAGGTTCTCAAAAGCTCAGCGTGGTTGCCTGGGTGTCCTTTCCAGTACCGGGAATCTGAGAGTGTACAGTCTGGGCAAGGACTTTTCAGAAACCTCTAGGGTCGAGCAAAATGAAGGCCATGACATGTCCTGGGAAACAAGCCAACCACAAGATATCTACCTCGATCGGACGCAAGACATTGCTAAACAATATTCAGACCCGTCCGCTCCAATGGAGGAAAAGTCACGAATTGTCTCCTTTGACTTCCTGACGAGCACCACGAAGTCTAAACGACCCAAGATCCTAGCCTTGGACGGGCACGGCCGAGTTAAGCTCACGTCACCGAGTCCAGTACCCACCCCTACCACGCTTGCCCCTCCCGGATTTTTGTGCAGAGGCACCTCTTCAACCGAAATGTTGTCCAGAGAATCCGCCGAAACCGGTACCACACTCGATCAAGTTCGTCGACGAGCGCAGCCCCGAAACACTCTCAAGAAGACATTCAGACAGCCGCGACAGACCAAGACAGCTGCTGATGGTAGAAGAATGTCAAGCCTGGACGACCAGGCATGGCATGCGGATCTTGGCTTCTACGAGACAGATGTGCCTTTCTCGGACCTTCTGATTCTCATCGCAGCCCAGAGGCTACGCTGTGAAGCCGGCTACCTGCTGAATCCAATCCAGAACAAAGCAGTCGTCTCGGACTCTCATTGGCTGCAGTCGTTCTGGGCCTGGGTCGAACGTGGTGTCAGGATCTCTAAGAATGGCAACATGGCCCAAGACAACCTGGATTTATCGTTCGTTGGCGTCTATAGTCTTTGGATGGAAATCATCGACCTGAAGAACCGAACTCTGGGTCCGAGTTCCAATAACCTGGGCCGGGTCATCGAAAACCTCGTCCGCCGTCTGAGCGTGCCTAGTATCAATAGCGTCGACACGGAATATGCTGCTAACAGGCAGCTTTGCCTCCACACCGCCGGCTTAGCCTGGTCGTCGGAGGAACTCGAAGTCATGGTCAAACGGCTGGTGACCAAGAATCAACACACAAAGGCCGCAGCATTGGCTCTATTCGCAATGGATCGTAAGCTGGCCTACAAGGCTCTCCGTAATAAGACTGCCAACCAGTCTCACAAAATGCTAGCAATGGCTATCGCAGGAGCCTTCAAGAGGGCGAAGGCGGGTGACTCGGGGACTGTGACCGGGGATGAATCCGACGAGGAGGATGACTGGGCAGCCACGATCGCATCTTTGGCCGACGAGTTGACCGATCCTTATGCCCGAGCAATTCTAGCCTATGTCAAGACCGGCGATTGGTCGAATGTCGTCGCAGAGGAGTCGCTTCCTCTCAAGTATAGGGTATGCGTAGTTTTGCGACACTACGACGACTGGAAGTTGACACAGTATATCGCTCAGGCCACCAAAGATGCAGTCGCCGCAGGGGATATCGAGGGTGTTATCCTCACTGGTACGGCGACACAGGCTTCTTTCGATCTAATGAGCAACTACATTCGGCGCTTTGGCGACTTACAAACGGCCGTACTAGCACTTTGTCCTGCCGTGCCACGCTATCTCAACGACGAGGCAGTGATTCGCAAGTTCACAGCATGGAAGGACGCGTATAAGCATATGATGAATAGCTGGAACCTCAAGTTCCACCGTGTTCGGTTCGATATTGCCTGCCAGAATGCGGCCAAAGATGAATCAGGACGACCCCTCATACCTCCGGCAAAACAACAGGTCCGCCTGGTGTGTCAGTATTGCTCGCAAAGCCTCGCACACAAGGCTGGAACCAGTGGAGAGACATCTCCGGGATCCAAGACAATCGATACACCCAGACATCCGCTCAGTAAGGAAAAAGCTGCAGCTATCGGCACTGTCTGCCCTAAATGCGAGCGCCATCTGCCCCGGTGTGGTGTCTGTGATATGTGGCTTGGAGTCCCAGATGAGTCTTACTTACCTTGGTACGCGACTATCCATGCTTCAAAACACGACTTGGGCAAGGCCAGCCTCGACCTCAGCGCGAGTGTTTCAGGCAGCATTCAAACCACACTCGGGCCCGACACTTCGGCAAGGGGAGGATTGAAAGGCACTGCATCGCCTCGACCGAAAAACTCCCCACAGAGGCAATCGAAAACGTCAGCAACTGATTCGTCGACCAGGACAGCAATCCCCATTGGCAGTGTTGCGGACTTGGGCACTGATTCCGTCCCAGACATCGTTCTAGAACAATCAGTGATCCCAATTGCAGAGACTGACCTGGAAGCGCAGAAGGCGGAAGAAGCTCGGAAGTGGGACATTGCCATGTCTCGCTTCACAGTGTTGTGCGTCAAATGTTCCCATGGTTGCCATGCTGCTCATGCACGAATGTGGTTCGAGAAACACCGTGTCTGTCCTGTCCCCGAATGCAGATGTCTGTGCAACGAGTGATATTCAGGCGTCTCGCATCTAGCTTGGCACCCAGCAGACGCCGTAGTCAAACTCGACACGATTTCTACCTCGCCAAAACGGCAACGACTGCCGACGGGAAAGCCTTCGTGCCATTGAGGACGTCGCTCGGGACGCAAGCGGCCATCCTGATCCTACTGTGGTTCGCCACATCAGGAAGGGACAAGGACCACCACCACCACCACCACCACCCAAGGGATCAGGCCCGCCATCTGATGTCACGTGGGGACTTACTATTCGCGTCCTAGTCCTAAATCAGAGTGTGAAGCTTGGGCTCTAGGAGAAATATCAACCTCTTACCGTGCCCATTCCTCCTGAATTTTCCATTGAGAGTGTTTGAGTTGCCATCAGGACCAGGTCCACACCATCAGATATATCAGGATGACTCGACCATCGGCCCCTCCAGCCCGCAGAAATGGAACCGGTATCCTCTTCGCGCTCATCTTCGCCATCCTCTCAGTTTGCGCGGTTTATGCACTCCGAATCGCGTCGGTACAGTCAGGAATTGCGGATAAAATGGAGCGGATCACCACAACTCACCGATTTCTTGAACATCCCCTGTCTCTTCGGACGACTTACACAGGCATCGCGCCCGTCGACCAAGGTCTGACCTTTCTTGTTACGGCCTTCATGAACGCGGCCTCTGGCTGGGATGCGGGCTTCTTCGTGTTCCTGGGGTACTTTTTGGTGTCCTTCTTCGCAATTCTAACAGTCTGGGCGGTCGAGAGCTGCAGAGAAAGGAACGGGCGGGCCTTGACGAGATTGTAAGGCTCACTCCTCTGTCATGTGGCCTAGTGTGAAGTGTGATCTGACGCCCATGAATCAGTACTTATATCTACGCCCTCTTGTATCAGACTGTCGGCGGAGCCGTCATCGTGCCCATCTACTATCTTGTATACCTCTATGACACATCTAGCAACTCATACTGGTCGAAGCCTCGAAATATTCCACTTCCATATGCGAAAGCACTCCTCCCGGCACTGATCATCGGCTACCTCATCCCTACCGGCTTGATATTCCTTCCCTACTCTGCCCCGGACATGTGGACTACCCAGGCGGCGGTTGCCTTCTGGCAACCCTCGCCTTGGTACGTCGACATACTCATCTGGGTGTTTGCGAAACTCTACTCTGGCAGGAGCAGCACCAAGAGCAGTCCCTCGAACCGCAACAGCGACATCCTTCATCTCAACCGTATCTACCTCACGTCCTTTCTAGTGACCGGCATGTTACACCTCTTTATAATCTACTTGATCCTCTTCTCGCCGAACTCCGAGCATAGCTTCAGCCATATGTTCCTGGACCCATTTTCTTACTCGTCGACCCAAATGTCCATGGTCCAGGGCATGCACGGGATCTTCCTGGCCGATTTCTGGATCATCTTCGCCAGCTCACTGCTCTGGGCGTACCTTGCGCTCTGGGACTTGAAGAGGGTCAAACTGGCGGACGTCAATCTGTGGTCGGTCGGAATCCTACTTGCGATAGGCACAGTTGCCGTGGGACCTGGCGCTGTAGTGACGGGTGTCTGGTATTGGAGAGAGAAACAGCTAACTGGCCAGGAGAAGGAGAAGGAGAAGGAGAAGGCGAGGTGAGGCGAGGTGAGGTGGTTGATTACTACAAAATGACGACGGCGGGATGGACACAGTGGGAGGTGGGAGTTGGGATGTCAAACAGGCACTAATTACCGAGAATTTGCTCCCTGCGGAGTACTTCTCTCGGGATAGAGGGCTTGAGATAAGACACAGGGTAACTGCTACGCCGAAGCCCCAACACTGTAGGGATTGCCAAAACTTGGGTCGGTCGATGTCCCTATCATCCAGATTCATGTGCCCAGTTATCTGACAAATTTGAAGTATGAATTCCTCACCCGCGCCCGCAGTAGACGCTCGTCCCATTCCAATCCAACTCAGACCAGTCCAATTAGATGCTGCCAAAGAGACCCGACAAGAGCCCCATATCGTAATCCTCAATACTAGACCACACGATTCCACACTGCACAAAGCACACACACCCACTCACCAGATACAGCCACAGCCACAGCAGCTAGCTATCTAGCTGACTAGTAAATCCAGTTCTAATCTCCAGCCCTCCCATTCCGCACCTCCGTCACCACATCCCGCGGCGTCTTGTTCACCTCCCACATCGGTCGCGACGGCGACGGAAGCGACGCGTCAAAGACCACACGCTGGTCGGGGCCGCCGCCCTCGGTCGTCAACAATGTCGGACTCGAGCCTGGAGCGGCGTCAGGGTCTCGAGCCTCAGCGTCCCAAAACCGACGGTGGCGCACGGCGCGCATGAACCACGGAGCTCGGCCCGTGCGAGGTTTGTCTGGGGGTAACACAAGTTGTCAGCGGGGATGTACAGTACCGTAACCCTTGTCGCGGCCACTTTCCTCGCCCAGCGCGGGTAGGGGGGCGGAAGGGAAGGGTCTCGAAGGGGATGGTAAGGTAAAAGGCCGCACTCACAGGTCCAATATTCCTTGAGGTCCTCGTCGGCCGGGACGATGCGGCCGAACGAAATCAGTTTGATCATGTAGGTTAGGATGTTTATCGTCACGTAGGTCATAATCCCGCTGTTGTGGGTGGGCGTGGGAGTTTGTTAGTCACAGATCACAGGTGCGAGGGGTCCATGGTGGGGCCAGGCAGACATAGATATGGACAAGCAGGCAGACAAGCAGGCAGGGAGGTACCGCACTTACGCGATGAGACCGTATGCGATCGAATAGGAGAAGGGCATGAAGATCAGGGTGACGAAAGCCGGGAGCGCATCGCCCGCGTATTTCCAGTTGATGTCGACGATGGAGCGGGCCATCATCCAGCCGACCTGAGCGCGAACAGTTAGCGGCATGGCCACCACCGACGCGTACCAGTCCTAGGTATGTAGGCGAGGAGGAACACTCACCAACACGAGAGTACATCCCGTGGCCCACGGCGGGATGGACGCAAAGATCGGGGAAAAGAAGATGGCGATGAAGAAACAGACGCCCGTCGTCATGGCGGTGAGACCGGTCCTACCACCCTCGGCGATGCCGGCGCCGGACTCGATGAACGCGGTGACGGGCGACGTGCCCATCAGGGAGCCGATCGAGATGGAGATGGCGTCGGTGCAGTACGCGAGCGTGGACCGCGGGAAGGCGCCCGTCTTCTCGTCGACCACGCCCGAGAAGCGCGCCATCGAGTACAAGGTGCCGGTGCAGTCGAGGATGTCGACGTACAGGAAGGTGAAGAGCGCGAGGGCGAACTTGGGCCCCGCCCCCGCGACGTCCCAGTCCTGTGCGCCCAGCGTGTGTTGGATCGGGTGGAAGTGCACGACTTTCTTGAAGAAGTCGAACCGGTCGTTCCCCTCGGGCGTGTCGGGGAAGTAGGTGAATGACGTGGATCGGGGCCACGACATGATGGACACGACCGCGATGCCCACGATCATCGCCGACTTGACCTTGTACATAATCAAGAGGGCGGTGATGATGCCGCCGCAGAAGATGCCAATCCAGACCTGTCAGCCATGGAAAGGGACGATCCGAGTCAGTGTCCGCCGGTCCTAATACTGTATCATGGATAACAAGAACGAAACTGCGGGCGCTTACCGTTGGGTTCTGGAGCTTGTGGCTCTGACAGACGCCAAACTCGTCCTGGTATTTGGCCGGGCAGCCCGCGAGGTCGAGGGGGGTGCTCTGTGCGCCGGTGATGACCCCAAGGCCCGCCGACGTGGACATGCCGATCAGCGTGAGGAACAGGCCAATGCCGGCTGTGCTGGCAATTTTGAGCGACGAGGGTATGACGGCCACGAGCCACTGACGCATGCCGATCAGGGAGAGAAATACGAAGATGAACCCTTCGATGAATACGGCCGTCAAGGCGAGTCGGTAGGAGACTGGCCCGGTGCCGTGGAACCCTACTACTTGGTAGGTGAAGTAGGCGTTCAGTCCCATTCCGGGGCTGTATGATGCAGTCGGTATCAGCAGGGTCTCGTCCTGGGGGAAGAGAAATGAGAACTCTTACGCAAGCGCCACAGGTAGATTTGTGAGGAAGCCAAACATAAAGGAGGCAAGGCCGGAGATCGCGGCCGTCGTGGTGATCAGGTCCCTTTGGACGTCTGAGCAGGGTGGTGTTAGCTAAAGCATCATGTTATACCGTGTCAACCTTTCCGAGATCGACGACGCCAACGTACCGAGGACGCAGCGCGCATACTCGGTGTCCTTGAGACACGTCGGGTCCGATGCGCTCTGACAGACACAAGTGCCCCCAGACTGAGAGACGATGGATGCCTTGCAAATCTGGGTCAACAACGTTCCGCACGGATCAAACCTCCAACATGGATACTCACATTGACAGCGATAATGTACGCCATGGTTGCAAAGGTGGTCACACCGGCGCGCAGCTCCGTGAGAAACGTCGTGCCTGGAATCTCCTTTTCCTGTCGAAGGATGGTTATCGGATTCATTCCATCGAAGAGCCAGAGAGAGATGCCAGAAACTTACATGGCCACAGCCTTGCAGGCGGAAGACGCGCCCGAACGTCGACTTCGCGACATAGTCGTTAATAGCCTTGGTGTATTGTCGAGTGGCAGACATGTTTGGATTGTGAAGCTGCTCCAACACCGTGAGGCAGTCCCGCCAGCCTCACGCCGGGGAGTAGGTTGGACATAATAAATACCGGCCAGCGAGCAGCGAGGGGCCATGCAAGAGACAGGCAATAGAGAGGTTGCGAGACACACGACACGGCTGAGAAGAGCCGCTCCTCGTAAAGAGACCCCCTTCGGTCTGGGCCATTCCGGCGGCTTGTCACTATTTCTATGTGCCACGTGTCTCGACACGCTGCCGTGTCCGGTGCAGATAGAAGGACGGCATCTCTTTGGATGAAAGTCGTGTGTGCGCCGTCGGGCAACGGCCAGCCGCATGTTGTCTTTCCCAGCCCGCTCGTATCTGCAGTCGGAGTGTGACACGGGAAAGACTCAGGACCGGGGCCAAGCCTGCTACGGTCGGCCTCAAGCAGCCTGTATCGCTTGGAGGAGTTGCCCAGACACCATTCCCCTGCAACTTCTCAAATGCCATCGGCCCAAATCAGTTACCCTTCTCAAGCCACATTGCTGCAGTCGCGCAAGTGATGTCCAATATCAATGTCCACTTGTGAGAAAGGGCCCGTCCGGCCTGCATGCCAGCCTGCCTACACGGGGGCTGTGCCATGTACGCGAGCCGAGGAGCTGAACTGTCTGTCTGTCCGGCCGTCCGTCTGTGCAGCTTGGATTCCGTGAACCTGGTAAGGCTGCGGGCGGGGATCATCTTTCCTTGCTATCTATCTATCGTCTGTCTGGCCATCAATCACGCTGGATTGAAACATGGATTTGACACCTAGACGCCCTTGAGCCATGTTCAACGTTTCTTTCAAGAATCCCCTGGAGGCGGAGACAGTCAGCGAGCGACGCGAGCGCAAGGCCAGGGAATCCGAAGGCTCGATCCGAAGCTCCACGTCAGGCTCCCGCGCAAGGCTGGGGAGCGAGAGAGGCAGTATCGCGAAGAAGATCCCCATCTTCGGATTCGCCAAGGCTACGAAAACTCGGCCGGCAGTACCAGCGTTATCAAACCGTGGTGACAAGCCGGCGGCCAACCCAGATGTTGGTGATGTGATTAACGATGGTGATGTTAACGTCGACATTGGTCCGTCAGAGCTCGCTGGATCGCCGGTCCTGGTGACTTCGCCGCCGTTTTCCCCTGCTTCGAACGTGGAGCCGCTTTTCAGACGCTCGATCTCGCCTTCAGTCTATCGACAAGAAGGTCCGTTCATCCTCCACTCCAACCAGTGGCGGTTGATCTTGCGCTGATCAATGATTTAGCTGTGGCTTCCGCGCCTGGGAGACCGGCTGAGGAGCCGCTCCCACCCTTGGATGTCCCCCTTGAACGTCTTCAACAGTGGGGAAAGAGAAGATCCTACGTATGCGCCGACAACGCTGGCAGAGCCAGTTACGCAAGCCCTGTCGAGCCGATTAGACTTGCGAGTCCGGTCCAAATGGAACGAACCTCCGCCGCTCAAGCCGCCAAGTACTGGCCAGAGAGGTCAGATCCAGCCAGCCGTGTCCTTGTCCCGGGAAAGCTAACGAAATTCGAGCTCCAGATATCCCGTTGTACGCTACGCCTCGACCTCGAGCACGTGTACTACCGGGATAGCGAGATCTGACACGATCTGTACGCCCAAAAGCACTCCCGAAACGGTGCAGAGCTGTGAAGGACAGAGATTCCCCTTCCCTTTGGATTCACAACGACGGGCATGTGTTCAAGCCGCCGCGACACCAGCGTCACACGGGCACAAACGCGACATGGCTGCTAACACTGAGCTGGCACCTAGCTCCGTGGTCACGGTTGTGCCAATCCGAGAGCACGTCCAGTCAGAGGACTTGAAAGAGCACACCACGATCCGCCAACTGGTAGAAAGCCTGCCTGGACTTCTGGTCTTGGCTCAAAATGCGCCGATCAAGGTTGTTTGCCGTAGACTCCATGAAGATTGGGAGGGGGCAAATCCGGATGTCGTAGACATCGTAACCCTCCAGAAGAAGTTATGGGCTCTGGTCGGCCTGAGACGTCTCAACGAACTCCTGAGTGCAAAGAGGGTCTTTCACAATAGTTCGGAAGCTCAAGCAGAAGAGAAAGATGAGAAACCAGCTCAAGACGAGAAGAGCATCGTGCATATCAGCGAGGACGTAGGTAAGTCAGGCGGCGCGCTCTCTCCCTCTCGATCCATGGTTCATATCCCGTCCTTTCAATGGATCAAACCATGAACCTGACTTTGACAACGACTGACTGGACTCTTACTCCGTGTTCGCAGTTGACAGCTGGCTTCACGCAGCCACCTCCCCACAGCACCAGGTATCCTGGCTTCGACCACCCCGCGACTACACCTCAACGCTATATGGGACGTTACCTCGGAACATAGATATCAAGCCCTGGGTCAAAGTACCTACACTTCCATACTCAGACTCCTCAGTCGATCTGATATCGTCTCGTGCCATCCCCGTGCTCCTGCAATCCAGCCAATGGCCCGGGTTTGCGCTGGAATGCGCTCGCATTCTGAGCCCCGGAGGCATCTTCGAAGTCACGGTTCTGGACCCGCTGCCGCGCAATTGTGGTCCCCTCCTGCAGCGGTGGACGGCTGAGAAGATCATCCTCGGGTTGGAAAGGAGGTTTCTGGTCACCCATCCCACGATGATTATCCCTGTGTGGTTGGACGATGTTGCGGAATTTGAGCATCGCGACATCCAAACCCTCTCTTTCCCTGCTGCCGGGGATGGAGACATGTGCGAGAGAAGGCTGAGCGACTGGACTGGGGCGGCATATCCGACAAGCACCAGCGCTTCCCAGGGTGAACGCCACCTTCGAGGGCTCAGCGTAGCGGTAGGGCGCTATTGTTACCAGGCCTTCTACGGTCGTCTTGTTCCTTGTCAACAATCTCACCCTGGAGAAGCGGCTCACCAATCCATGCCCTGTCGGCAGCGGTGCTGGTGGTGGTTAGATCCTGCAATCGTGAGAGAATGCCAGGATTACGGCACGTTTTTCGAAATGGTGACTTATAAATGTCGGAAGAAAAGGAGCTCGCCGATCGGGAGCATGATATAGAAGATAGTCGACTGCTCAATCTAATCGCCAGAACATGGTAGAAATAGAAAGCCAAGCATGGCCGCTGCGGCTTCTCTGAACTCGTTCTCCACATCGCTAGACCCAGCAATCAATATCGCTCCTGGACGAGGTTGAGAGCGCCGTCCGCAGTAACAAGTGGCCAGGCGGTCCTCGTCTTCGTGGTCAAGGTATGACTTTGGCCTCTCAGGAGAAAGTTATTTTTACACCGGGCGGCAATTTCCACGACGAGAAGGGGTTGACATCGAGGAGGCCGGTGGTATTTCGAAAACCGCTGTCTCGATTTTTGCTTCATGTGTTTGGATCATACATACCATGATTCTTGTTGTGGCATCCCCATCGCCCACCTTTCCTTTGACATGAGTTGTTCCCAATGGCTAACAACAGGCGCTCAACATGACGCATAATTGGCTCCTTCTTGAGATCGCTCTGTCGGAACTCACAATACTGTGGTCGAGTGAGAGAGACGTAACCAGTCGATAGCAGTGGTCACAACCAAATAAGCACCTGCCGCGCATCGGAGGAAGTTGTCTTGCGTTCGCGCTAACGTGAGATGTGCTTTCAGCTTCAAAAACGCCTTCTGAGAGCGTAGTTGCAGGCCTCCGTGGCGATGATAGCTCCCTCTGGAGTAGATTGATGGGACTGCCATGGACGCGACGTGCTTGCTCGACTTAACGCCGCGTTTCGACCCTCGTTGTGCCGGTTGAAACGGATAAAGAGACGCCCAGCTCATAGGGGACCGTTTGCTGCACTCGTTTTGCCACTCCGGTGGGCCTAGCAATCTCCATGTTCGCTTCTGTCGTCTCGCCTCATCGCTCGGGATCTCTTATCTTACAGCCGTGACAGCTCAAGTTCCAGAGGGTCAATGGCCAGCTCTAATATCACCCATTGTTCTGGTCAGAGCTCGTCTTTTCGGATCCTCGATGAGTGCATTGTCGCCTCAGTGGTGGGAGTGCAGGTGTGGTTAGGTATGCTGCTTTGCGCTTTGTCCTGTGTTCGACTCCTTCATCTCCCCACAGCTCTACCAAGCCTTTCCCTCGTTGTGGCAGGTCCTTGGTCCGGCCAACTGCTCACCGCGTCGTCCACCTCTTCCAAAAACATGGTCGAATTCACCACGCTTGTCCCGCCAAGCACTACCCTTACGCCCGGCACCGAGGCATTGACCTGTGCTACCATTTTGGCTTCCTCATATGTTACTCCTCCAATGATGAAAACAACGATATCCTGGGGCTTGTCCTTGGTATGATGGCCATCCACAAAAGGAAATTGCAACTCTTTCAATCGCCCCTTGATGAGATGCTGAAGTGAAGTCTCTAACCTAGGCGAGTGCTGGGTGTAGACGTTTTCCACCCCCTTCAGGTTCAGGTTGCGGCGGAACTGGCTGAACGGAGACGAGCCGGAGTCGAAGAGGTCTATGAAGCCGCTCGCGCCACCAACAGGCGCGGGTTGCAGGCTGTGGTGATAAGCGAGGAGTTTCGGGATGATGGAAATTTTGTGCGCAGGCACATCAGCCACCGAAGTCAGCAGGTCAAGGAGCACTGGGAGAGCGTTGTTCGGGTTGCGTTCATAGCGGAGGGCGTAGAGCGCGACCAGGCGGATCTTATTGTCGGCAGGGATACTCGGGCTTTGAATGTGCCTTTGCAGCGTTTTCAGGTCATTGGCATGGTTGTCGTTGCAGACCAGGCTCTGTTCTAGTTCTGAAACATCGAGCAGGGACTCGGCAGAGACACGGCGGCTGAGTTCGCTGACTAGAGTGACGTGCTTGGAGACGTTCCCCGAAAGCTTTCGAAACTCTGGATAATCCTCGACAAACCGTTTCATGTCTGCTATCGATTCGATCTGGGCGGTCGATTTGGTTCGAGTCTGATACAGGTCGACGTAGTCTTTGATGTTGCCTCCCAGGTCACCAAAGTTCTGATACATGTTCTTCTTGAAGAAGGGGTCTTGATCTTGAGACAAAACAATCTCTTTCAGCTCTGGACGTACATCGGGAACGGCACTGAGGTCTACGCGACCATTGTGAATGCCCAGAAGCTCATGAACCTGAGCCTGGTAGGTCCACTGGGTGAGCAAAGGAGTAATCGGATCATCTCTGCGATCCAGAATCAGCAGGACCGGAGGAGTGTCTGTTTTTCGGAAGTCGAACAACTGTTCTTCCTGGGTGATCTGGTACCTCACTTCGGTGGCCAGCTTCTTCGCCGTCAGACTGTTCTTTTGGTAGCGTATCAGGGGATTCTTTTTCAACGACAAGAGCAAGGCAATCACGCCTTCGGTTGTCCTCTGCAACGCATCGGTGTTCCAGATGTCTGGGCTGTGACTCCATAGCCGCTGCTTTGGAAATCCCAGATTCAGGGACATCAGATCCGGGTTGACCACGATGTAGTCGGCAAAGTATTCCTGCACCGCCTTGACCACCTCGTGATCGTCCGCTTCGGCCAATCGCTCAAGTGACGACTTCTTGATGATGTTGCTGAAGTAGATATTGTACTCTCCGTACTTGGGCTCGCGCAACTCGTCGATGAGGAACTGGATCGAGTCCGGAGACGGTCGGACGAAGCAGAGACAGCGGAGGTGACGCATGCGTTCGCGAGCAGGGTTGTCCAGCCTGTCGACGAGGTACACTTCGTGTTTCAGCAGGGCTGACTGGGTGATGGCGGTTGAAACGATAGACACCGTCTCCGAGTCAAGCAGCAGCAGCTTCATCTTGGTCTGCTGAGAGGCTGCAGTGCCTTCGCCGACGCCGGCAATCTTGGACAGATAGCCCGAGATCGCCGAGGAGACGTCCATGTTGCGCGAGCGGTGTTGGATTGACTCCGGTCATCAGTGTCACAGCATTGTCGTCATGAGACCGTGCCTTGTATGGACTCGCGGTGCATGCAACACTGGTCAGCCGAGAACAAGCGCGAGCAAGTCCAGGCCGTCGTGTCGTGTGATAGAGTGTACTTGTCGTGTACTTGTCGTGTGCTGTATGTTGTATGGTGGTGCCTGGTGCTGCAGCTCAAATGATGCGCAGGCAAGACGAGGCTGAGCGTGACCGTGACGCAGGCGCAAGGCTGCGGCATGTGACGGTTCGATTGGCTGCTGTTCGATTTGATGTCATACGTCGCGCTGCCCAAAATCGAGGCCGTCGTCTTCTCGCCCACCAATTCGATTCCATCCTCAATAATGTCGGATCGAGACTGTCTTTGTCGTCTCTCACCCTTCCGTTCACAGTCATTTGCGCACTTTCAGTGCAGGAAAGCGCGACGATGCTTCCCGGGATAGATACCCGTATTTCTCCCCTGTGCTGGACGTGGATGTGAGCCGAGTCGTGCTGACCGTACTGCCAGCATTCCTGTGGCTGTCCGGGGTGGTGGGCGCGTCAGTCGACGAGCTCAAAGTAAGTGTGTGCTGGGAGGAGGTTCAGTGTCGCGATGTGTCTGGCTAACTAACGAACCAGCTTCTGTTCGTCTTCATCTCATCATATCCCTTAGCCGCCTGGTTGAAGCGCCTTCCGGACAACAAGCCACATTACAAGAGCATTTTCAGTGTCATCATCTGCCTGTTCTACCTTGTCGGTCTCTTTGATCTATGGACAGGCGTCGGCACGTTGCTCATTGATGCGATTGGCACCTATGTGATCATCTACGTCGTCGATGGGTCGCTTATGCCATGGCTCGTTTTCATGCAAGTCAAGCTCCGGGATCGCGACTGCAGACCACGGACAGGACGCTAACCTTTGCCGGGCCCAGATTTCTGATGGGCCACATGGCCATCAGCCATATAGAAAGGCAGAGGATCAATGACCCGAGCCTTGTGGACATTACCGGGTGGGTTTCGTGCTGTGATTTTTGCGACCTCCACCGGCGCTAACAAGGCCGGAGGGCAACAGCGGTCAGATGGTCCTGATAATGAAGCTTCATGCGCTAGCGTGGAACTACCATGACGGACACATGAAGCCCGAACTGTTGACCGACAGTCAAAAGGAGCGCGCGGTGTACAAGCTGCCGGAGCTCCTCGACTATGCCGGCTATGTCTTCTTTTTCCCGTCGATCTTTACAGGTCCAGCGTTTGATGTAAGTTCGTGTCTGAGGAGCTGGGGCAGAGCCACGCAGGGGGGGGTTGCGCCCTTGTTTCAACATACTGCAAACGCCACTGACACCAGCCATTTGGCCATATATAGTACGTCGACTACAAGCGCTGGCTCGATGGCAGTATCTACGCTCTCCCGCCCGAAACACCGTCCAAATCTCCTCCAGCAAAGAACGTCAGCAGGAGCAAGAAAATCGAAGTTCCTCACTCGACCATTCCAGCAACGAGAAAAGCGATCGGCGGTCTTCTCTGGATCGGCCTCTTCCTGCAATTCTCAAAGTGGTATAACGTGGCCTTAGTCCTCTCCGACAAGTACCTAACATATTCCTTCCCATATCGCGTGTGGATACTGCAACTCCTGGGCTTCACCTCACGCATGAAGTACTACGGCGTCTGGTCGCTTACCGAAGGAGCCTGCATAATGGCCGGAATCAGCTACAACGGCATCGACGAGAAGACCGGTAAAGCCAAATGGGGTAAGTAACATCATCTGTAATCGTGATATCCCTCCTGCACTGCCACTTGACTACCTCTACCAAGCCCGTCGAGACTGGCCTCGGACGAAGACAGCTCTTCACATTTTCGTATTCCCCCCTTTCCGACAATCGCACACTAACGTCCCCCATCCTCCCCAGACCACCTCGAAAACGTCAACCCGCTCGGCATCGAACTGGCGCAAAACTCGCGCGCGTACCTCGACAACTGGAACAAAAACACCAACAAGTGGCTCCGAAACTACGTGTACCTGCGCGTGACGCCCGCGGGCAAGAGACCGGGCTTCCGCGCCACTCTGGCCACCTTCCTGAC